GGCAAGTGTGAGAAGTGCAAAGATATCACACTACTGTCATTACCAGGAAATAATGCTGAGCCGAATGAGAGACGCCTAACTTCGAGATCAACAAGATGGATTCCGTAATGATTGGTCGTGCACAAACCGAATTGCGACACCACTGATCATCGATGAACATTGACTTCAATGGAATTCGTCACTAGGCGTCATTTTCATTGACTATGAGAAAATGTTTTACAGTGTGAGTAGGAGGACTTTATGGAAAGTTCCTCGACACTATGGTGAACCTGAGACGATGGTCAACATCATTTAGAATTTATTCGACGGACTACAGTGCAAATTCGTGCATAGAGGATAGCTGACAGATGCATTTCGAAGTCAGACGAAACTGCTTAATCTCCTCCTCCCTCTTTCGTCTGAAGGTTGACAGGATTATGAAGGTGGAGTATTTCATGTACCCGATACTCAATGTTCATTGACTGGATACTTTTTTTAAAATTATTATTAATGGCTTTATTCAATACTATATTTTGGTACAATATAGAATTCTCAGCACAGGGTATATAAGGCGGCCTGCTTGAATATCTGCGCTACCTGTTTCTGCCATCTGATTATTTCAACAAGTTATCTGTTTTCCATTTTTTTAAATTTATAACTATGTCCATTAATCGCATAACCTATTCAGGCGCTTTTATGAAAAGCCTACGACCTTCCGCTGCACAAGTTACGAAAAAGTACTATAAAAAGCATCGTGGTGGTTGGCAATATGCGTTAAAGAGAATGAACATTAATCATATGTCAATTCCCGAGCTACTAAATTCTAACTGCCGATCACTAATCAACAAAGTGGACTATCTGCAATTCTTACTTAGTCAAAATACGTATCGTAATTGTGGTGTCATCACAGTTCAAGAATCTTGGTTGAATGATTTACAGGATAACTGCCTTGTATCACTACGTGATTTTAAAATTTATCGTCAGGATCGATCGAACAATAAAAAGAGGTGTGGTGGCGGTGTAGCTACGTTTGTAAACATAAACTGGTGTCGATCTTCGTTTGTGTGTTTTAAGTTTTCAAATGACTTTATCGACTGTCTAACTCTAAGATGTCGTCCAAAACATCTGAATAAATACAAATATGTTTATGTGACCAATATCTACGTGACTTCAGATTGCACATCATCTGCACTATCTGTTTTTACTGATGAATTCACTGAGTTCGCTGTTACTGCCTTCAGTGATTCACTTTCAGTTGTATGTGGTGATTTCAATTCATGTGACTGTAGCTTCCTTACGTCACTAGGTCACCAAAATGTAGTGGATTTTCCTACCCGTTTGGATGCTCATCTAGACTTCGTCTTCATTAATGATGTGGGTATATATGCGACTCGTAAACGTGCTCCATTGTCTAGCTCAGATCACTGTATAATTCGTGTTCTACCTAAAGTATATGGAAAGCATGTGAAGAGTACACTCTTACGTCAAACCAGGAAAGTCAAATATAAAAATTACTCAGAAGAAAATATCCGAAATCTGAAAAACATGTTTCATACGACTAACTGGGAATTATTTACAGATGACCCACTCGAAAACACTACTGATGTTATCACTTGTTGCCTTAAATTCTGTTTTGATATTTGTTGTCCCACTGAAACCATTTTTGTAAGTTTTGATCGACTTACATCTTCACAACTAAAACGACTACGAAGGATGAAAGAAAGAATGTACAAGGAGAAGAACTTTAATAAAGTTCGTAAGCTAAGTAGTCTGATAAACCTAGAGATTAGACGTCTCAACTGTATGTTTACTCAAAAGCTCTTATCTTGCAAAAACTCTCCAAGTATGTGGAAATTCTTTAAAGAACTTACAGGTGACAGAAAGTTTAGAATCGATAACCAGCTGAATGTTTGTGACTTAAATAAGTCTTTTGTACGTCAGTCATCTGATGTGATGCTCCCTCTATCCACGGGTTTAAAAACTAGCTGTGTTCCTACTTTCACTGAAACTGATGTACGAGGATGTCTCCAGTCGCTTAATTCATCTCGATGTTTGGGACCTGATGGTATCCCAAACATTCTTTTTAAAAAATGTGCTGACGTTCTGTGTCATCCGTTCACAACTATATTTAACAGATCCTTCTCATCTAATCTCATACCGAAAATGTGGAGAAAGATGAAGATAATTCCTGTACCCAAGAAAGCATTTGGTGATAAGAATGTAAAATTTAGACCTATTGCAATAACTTCACCCTTCCTCAAAACCATGGAAAAATTATTAATTCTTTCACTTCAGCCTGCGATAAAAGAGCATACTCACCCATACCAGTTTGCATACAGGGGCAAAAGAAACACTTTAGATGCTGTTGCAGTTCTGCATCACAACATAGTGTTCAACTTAGAAAAGGGTAAGAAGTATGTTCGATGTACTTTTCTGGACTATACTTCAGCTTTTGACTCTATACCAAGACAACGTTTACTTAACACGTTAATCAGCGTCAACACTGACAGCTGGATAACCAACTGGCTATGTTCCTACCTCTCTGGAAGGGAACAATACACTGTGTTTGGAGGGAAGAGTTCAGAGTCTCTACTGTCTCATGAAGGTGTACCACAAGGAGCTGTTCTTTCACCTCTTCTATTCTCTTTTTTTCTGCATGACCTGCCATCTTCCACAGAAAACACTTTTTTGAAATATGCGGACGACCTCACTGTATGTATGCCTATATCTTCCTCTTTACATCCCATAGAAATGAATGAGTTTTTGTCTCGTATTGATTGTTGGTCTGTTGGTAATGGTCTCATACTTAATCCGTCTAAATGTCAAGCTGTTAACTTTAGCATGAGACATAAACGGAATATAAACACTATTTTGAGATCCCATAGTGCTTTTACCATCGGAGACTCTCTGATAAACTCAGTGTCGAAGGTCAATTATCTTGGTGTCATCTTTTCCTCTGATCTGTCTTGGTCTTCCCACGTTTTATCGTTATCGAAGAAGGTTTTCCGTCTGACCTATTACATAAAGAGATTGCATGCTCTTGGAATTACTCGTCATTTACTCTTACAATTTGTCAATTCTTGCATACTACCTATTATTCTTTACTGTTCTCCATTATTCTTTCCCGGGCGTTTGAGAAAAGACTTTGCTGTACTGCGAAGAGTGCTGAAGGCAGTTAGCAAGGTGTGTGGTGAATCTTTCGAGGTCATAATTAATATGGTTGTGGATAGACATTTAAATTCATGCAAACTCCTGGCAGGTGTCATCTTATCAGATACTAGCCATCTCCTTCACTCTTATCTTTCTCCTTGTATATCTTCTGGTAGAACGAGACGTAATTACATTAAAATCCATGCACGCAAGGAAAAGTACAAATGTTCTATAATACCTTATCTAGCAAATATACTCTGTGACGAACAGGTTGTTAGAGTTAATCTAGCCAATAACCTGCATTCTTAACATGACTTTAATTTTAAATGTTGTACTGTTTTTCAGGTATTTTTTTAAAAACTTTTTTTGTCTTTGTTACTATTTTTGTTTGCATAAGTAACTTGTTGAAATACCCTGTGCTGAGAATTCTATATTGTACCAAAATATAATATTAAATAAAGCCATTAATAATAATAATACTATCAGCAACAACCTACTGTTGAAGAGAACAAACTAGCTACTATCTGAAGAGGAACTTAGAAAGAGACGCTGGAAGTCGATAAGAAATGCGTTGCAAAAATCATCGAACCGCATCGAGAAGCAAGCCCCAACATGGAATCCTGAAGAGGAACGGAAAAGTGAAGGTCCAAAGAACACACTGCGTCAAGAATTGGAAGCAGACAATAAGAGAGTCAGTACCAACTGGAGGCGACTGCAAGGATTACCCAAGACGGAGTTTGATGGGAAATGCGGGTGGGTAGTCAATACTACTCCGCCAAGGGTATCTGGAGTTAGAGTGCAAGATGTAACTCTCTTCTCAGCTCTTGTGTGCTTTCCAGTAGTGACAGATGTTATATTGCTGATTTTGACGATAAGACGAGTTAGTGTAGATAGTGATGTGACTTCTACGTAAGGCATCATAAATTGGGTAGTCACATCATGACAAATCAACTATTTTGGGACTAGGTCTATTATTATAGTGGCAAAGTTAAATGTACTAATACCGAATTAGCCTACAGTCCTACGAACACAGTATAGCTTATATTAGTTTAGTTCAACGCTGTGTATACTTGGTTGTTATGAAATTAAGTGATACTCTAGCATCGGTGACATTTTCATTCTAATACTGGTGCAAATACCGACATAACTTCAGTTCATTTATAAAGGGGTCTAACGCTGTTAGCTATCTATTGATACTGTTATTTTAGTAAAGTTGTGTTCATTCAATTCTATTGTACAAAATTTTTTCACTGAAATGTTGCATGCCAGTTAATGAAACTAGCTAAACATGCGTTCGGGAAAATTCGTATCCGAGCCCAGTATCCTCTGTATTCATAATGAAGGACATAAGTATGTATATATCATCCAACCATTAATGGATGAATGTGACCTGTCTTATCTTTAGAAGAACTCACGCTTGTTCATCAAAAGTGGGAAAAACATATTTTTATTTAGCTGTTGACCTTTTTTCTATATCCTAAGTGTAAGGCTTGTTCGTATTTTTTAGACCACGGTTTACATCTCCGTGGGGTTTGCATAAAATTTAAATGTCCGAATCTCTCCTTCCCAGCAGTCCTCAACAAATCTACCGAATAATACCTACCCATCCCTGAAGCAGGGTTACGTACCACCCAATACCTCACCCAAGACCGTAAATATATGCATATCCCCTAAGGGAGTTTGGATGTACATTCTTCCGTGTAGATTAAAGATTACACTGTACACAACATCAAAGTAAAAACGCCTTTTCAGATATTATAAATATTGATCGTATAAGCAAATGTCAAGTCAAAAACATCTAGAAACCGTAGTAGAATCAATAAATTAGTATTGTATATGTAAGTTTGAAAATGACCTATACAGGGGCGCGTAAACAAGTCTGACTCGCAGATGACCTTGCGGCGGGGGTTGTAAGCGATGTCGAATGTCGGGATGATTTCCATGAAAATGTCTGCTTCATGGGAAGCTGAAAAGTCTTCATCGAATGCCATTCCGAGGTGATTCAGTTTTTTCTTCTTGTAAAAGACCACTTATAGAAAATCAGTGCAATACGAACTCGGTCTGTAGGAAGAGAATATTAAGTCTACTAGGCCTAAATTATTTTTCGCAGTAACACTATGGAGTTTTAGTTTGAATTTTATGACACCCTCAACAATAAGTCCTCGTCTTGTTACACTCTCAAATGTGAGACGATGGACGAAAACGATCAGTTCAATACTTAAATTAATGCTGTTAGTTTCTTACTTTCTTGAAATAAGAAGTATTTAAGAGCTTTAACCAATCACCTAAGGACAATTTGAGGCTTAACCCACTGTTACTGCAGATTTTCGGATTCTTTAGACATGAAGCGGGTGGCTTGATCCAATTACATATAGGCGTTCCATGACTCAGGTGTTTTATTCTAAGTTCCAAATCTATTGACTCACTGTTTGCCTTTTGAATTTATTTATTTGAGGGCGACCTCCTGATTCGGTGTTCGGGGTTGAAACCGCTCTTTTTACCCCTCAGACGAAGGAACATTGGTAAACGGTCGTTGCCTATACAATAATTTATTTTCTACCCTGTTTACATCCATCTCATTCAAAGTCTCATAGCTTAGGTATCTGTCCACAATTTTCTGCTCTGCTCAGTCGTTGGTCAGCAGTGTGATTTACTGCCCACCTGTCATAATGTAATGCTTGGTATTACCGATGACCACAAACTAACATTACGTATTTTAGCAAGCCAGTCTTCACCTAGTCAGAATAGCATTCAGCTTGTTTATCAGCCTAGCTTTTATCTTGTTATCTAAATACAATAAGTGAAATAATGCTTTTATGTTAACAGTTCGTAAATAAAATATAACTCGTGTACAGAAAACTGCAAAAGGTTGAGACATGGTCATATCTCACGTATTTAAACTATCATCTGCCCATCTTCCATGTCTTTAACACTTCTCATATCCGTCATACTTCCGTCTATTGGTAGTAGGCACCATATTTATGAAAACGTACTTGATACGACTAAAAGCCGCACATACCTGTCGTAATTTTAGTGTTATATCTGAAGGCGAAAAAACAACTTGACATACCTTCGTTGAAATTTTATTAACACTAAGCATTTAGGATGTGTGTAGTTTCTTATAGTTTACTGGAATTCTTTCAGAACTTTATTCCACATTTCTCGCCAATAAGTTCACACTTATAACTTGCTCAGTTTACTAAGAGCAAGCGCAAAGTTTGAGATTACATTTTTCTCAAATAGGCTAATATATTCTTCCTGATATTGAACAGTTCAAACCTTATTAAGTATTCACGATTGTCCCATATATGTCTAGTCATCTAACCAGTAGGTCATTATATTGTATTTAACAACTCGAATTGTGACTAATTTGCAGTAACCAAGTAAAGGTTCATGTACTCACCTATAAGCCACGGTTTGTACATCAGATAGTGATACTACCAGTTTTTCATACTGGAGGAATTACACTTGTTTAGTGTCCTATTAGTTTGCTGCAACTGATCTTTGTTCTGTCTTATTACTCCGGTTTATTGCTTTACTTCATTTTTCATTTCACAGTCACAGATGTCTTAATTACAAAAATATTTTTTGCTTTGATCTATAAATCTTTCCAATGCGGGTAAATTTTTTTTCTTAGACTCTGTAGCCTTAGTTTGGTGCAAATAATATTGGATAGGCCTATTGAACCTGAATGCCCAAACACAGGATTTTATGTAGTCGTTCGAATGCGTGGTACAGCTCGTCGGGTTTTACGTTCGCCTGAGATCACTCTTATTTGTCCACGTGCTTCACAGCCACAAAATGGGGTTGCAAACTTTCATTCAAACAATGTCCAACATAATCCAGCTGAGATTGGCTGCGGCGACTCAACCGGTCAGGGAGGATGTTCTCTTTCCCTCAACACACCTGGATCATTAGTTGGCGGTGGCGTTTCGGTTCTTATTGACTTCACGTGCAATATTCAGTATTCACATTTCCTGACTCGTGATTCTAATACGCTTCAAATTTTACTCCAACGTCGTAAAAAGTACAAAAGCAAAGCTGTGAATTTAGGATACAAGACACTTGCTTACTGTAATGTCAGCCTTGCCCAAGTGAGTTCTCCAAGCTTTTTGAATTTGATTTTTATAACTTCTGCTGCCAGTTGCGGTTTGTAGCTTTCTCAAGTCGATACAACTAACCTTTTTGAATCGGCTTTTAGATAATCTATCTATCATAATCATTCTATCATATCCGTAGGTTTTAATAGTAATGATTAGATTAGAGTGTACACAACTCTTCTTCAGCTGTTTGTTTCGAATGATTTGGAAGCTTCATTAGTCTTAAAATATTTACTAAAAAACAACTCATTAAGCTAGTACTTAAATACATTGTAAACTCACTTAAGTAAGACCATTCGGTTCCATCACCATCCATAATAGAAAGACTACCAAATAATACACTTCTCACTATGTACACTCGTGGTTCGGAATTCAAAGCATTTGACCTCCTACCACGTAGTTTACATCTTCGAACCTTATATCGTTTATTTCATTTGAAGAAGTTATGTAGTATCATTAGTTCTTGTACAATTTATTATTTGAACACATAAATATCGGTACAAACGGGAACCAAATATATATGCGCCACATGAATTATTCAATTTGTATGAGGGCTGGGATACTACCCGGGTACTCAAACTGAAGCAGGTGGTTTTCTTAGGGGGCCACACCCGAAGCATTTGACCTGAAGGTCTAATCCACAAGGTAGTGGAGCAACGCCAATAGATGCAGTCCCATGGTAGCCAGTGACCAACAATGGGTTCATACGCCATTTCTTCCCTTAGGATCCTAGAGCCCATATGCACGATTGGTTTGAAATCAGGGTTTTCCAACTCCTCTAGGTGGACTCTCCGTGTCCACCAACCTGGTTAAAGCACCGAACATTCTCTTTTCGTACTCTCAATTTCGGAAACAATTGTAATGCCGTGAGAAGCCAGTGAGTAGGACTTGCCTGGCAGTGGTTGTATGCACATGGCCATGTGAGAGCATTTCGAGAGGGAGAGCCGACTCTCCCTACTCTCGTCTGTACCAGGACATTTGAGGGCAGTTATTGTACAAAGTATACCTTGAAACCAAGTTTGCAAAACTTTATTTATTGCGCGAATTATGATCATAATCTTTTTTGAATCGGATAGTCGATTGTGCAACTTATACAATTACAATGGAATACTTTTAAGGGTATAGTAAAATACTGTTTGATTTGTGATTATTCGGTAAAAGCATGGTTGTAGAACTTCCTTTTTCCCTTACCTTGCCTATAACTTCGTATTATTTATTTATTTTATCACATAGATATTGGTACAAGGAGGCACCAAATACATATGCGCCACAGAAATCTCATTCGATATGTGTGAGGGCTGTGATACTGCCTGGGTACCCAAACCGAAGCAGGTGGTTATCTTAGGGGGCCACTCCCCGAGCCTTCGACCTGAAGGTCTGATCCACAAGGCAGTGGAGCATCGTAAGGAGATGCAGTCCCATGGTAGCTGGTGACCAACGATTGGTTCATACGCCATTTGTTCCCGCAGGACACTGGAGCCCATGTGCACCATTGGTTTGGAATCCGGTTAAAGCGCCGGACATTCGCTTTTCGTCCTCTCATTTTCGTAAACAACACCCCCGCCACGAGAAGGAAGTGAGTAGGACTTTCCTGGAAGAGGCTATATACGCGTGGCCATGTGAGAGCATTTCGAGAGGTAGAGCGGACTCTCCCCACTCTCGGCCGTACCAGGGCATTCGGGGGCAACTTCGTATGGAATGATCCCATGACTCCATTGTTTAGTTTGTCTTACATTAGACAGATATGTCACATTTAATGTTACCCTTTACATAGTAACTAATATTATTTTTGTTCTATTCGTGCACTGAATGAACCTTTTTCAAAGTATTATCAACTGTTTTTGCACCAATATGGGGACAAAAAGCAAATGCACCTAGTCATATATTTCCTTCCATCACTGTACATTCTTACTAATATATATAAGCATATTTGACTGTAATTAGTATAGATCTTTCATTGTTAATACAGTCGGTAATAATTTATCATTTTAGTATTGGTTTCGTAACCTTTCTAATGCATATTTACATAATTACTATATTTATTTAATTGCTTCTTTTTCAATGTTATATTAAGACAAAATACTAATGCACTAATTTTATTATATAAGTTGAACAATACCTACTTTCATCCATGAATATACATAAATATATTGAAGGCCTTCTAATTTTCCCATAACAAACCATGTATATATTTATATGCTCGGCAATTAAAATATTCCCATATATATAGTATTATTAAATCTTGAGTTTTTCTATATTCCAACAAATGCTGATTGTCTGATTTCATCTTATAAAGTATTTCCATGAAATAAGGGGATTTCTAATAACATTAGATGCATTGTGGTAAGGTGTAAAATTATATCAAACATTACATTTCGTTCTAGTGGTCGAAGTTTCTCATTCCCTCTGTGTTATGTCAATATCCTGGGTTCGATGGTGTATAGCGATCCAAAGGGAATAAAAACTGTCTGTTAATGAATCGACTACTATGAATTTGTGGGTATTACATAAAAATCCTAATCATTTTTACGTATTCAACCTCTTCTCTTTATTGCCTCAGAAACATAAATGTCCTTTGGTTTATGATGTTCCTATCGTAATACACATTTATTGGTGATAAGATCAGTTTGATGTATTTTGTACAGGAAGCAAATATACTTAAAACTTATAGGGTCAACAAGTAGTAATAAAAAGAGATAGGTTGTCATGTAAGCGGTAAAAATAAAACCTTGAGCATCCAGTGGTTGTAATTAGGGATACACACTCATTGCTCTCAGGAGTCCAAAATACGCCTTGGGTGAAGCGAATAATCTTACGTAAATGTGAATTGTATGTATTAGTATATACAAACCTAATTTAGACAGCTGGATGGCAACGCTAGGTCTCACATGAACAGCGGAGCTCAAAACCAACTATAGAAATTTATGCTTTTGCAAATAGCTAAAGTTGATGTATGTTGATTGTCGACTTATCTGGTGACTGACATTTAGAATCTATGCTTACGATAATATTCCACTAACATCAACTACAAACTACTTTTTATTTTCATTTAAACATACACTTTGTTGGGCAAATCCAAATTGTTCAGTGCACTGCTTTTGATAACATTCATTATTTTCAATAGCTCTTATTTATTATTACTAAGTCTGTGCATTCATTATTCGCTATTATATTTTCAAATAATAAATAAGCTATGTCTTAAAACATAAAAGAACGGTAAAAGACGCGGATAATGCGTATATACCCTTACGTGCATTTTTAAGTGTAAATTACGCTATTTATTCTTCCTTCATAAATTTTAGTTATTCTAATGATTCGATCATATAAATGAGGCAATTACTTGGCTTATGCACACCTATTTTCTTTTTGACAAATTAACTCACTAATTACATTCATGTCACCTATCCGTCTCAACTTACTGAAAAATCCTGTTGATTAGTAAACGTAGCTCACTATTATGCAGTTATCTACTGATAACTTTGCCAATATTGTAAACGTATACTGTCAAGTACAATTTTAAAATGAGTACTGCTTGATTATAGCTTTCTTCAATAATTTCGTTGAAAATAAATAATGCAACCCTATCGCCAAACTCAGATGCATTTATTAAACGTCTAGCGATATATTTTGTTTAAGGTAATACTTCTTGGTCGGTCAAAGCGAATGAGGTGAAGTCGATATTAAGTCTGTCTAGGGCTGTTGTTAGAAATTCGAACACTTTGACCAATAACCCACCGTTTCACAAATAAGGTCACCTCAAGTGTTTACTTATTACGACGCGGTAAAAATCTATCATTGCTATTGCTATTGTAGTACACATTTGTAACTGTTTTTACTTTTTGATGTTTGTCTTCATATTCCTTCTGTCATCCTTTTTTATCGCTAATGACTTTTCATTATATCCTTCTTCTACTATCAACCAGTATATATATATTTGATTAAAAGTAACTCACAGGTTACTGCTTACAATATTGTCCCAGTGTTTTTATAACTTATTTTCTCTAAATGATCTGTGTTTCATATTGCTATTGTTTTTTTATCATGAAGTTGTCCTCCACTTTTATTTTTCAGTTCGGATTTTATTATAGTTTTGTTTACTTCCCATCAATTAAATCTTAGTGATATTTAGTTGATTTTCAAGGAAATTTGTAGGTATTTGGAATTCTATTTCCGACCTTCATTTCTAACTTTCCTTGTCTATTTTTTTCCAGATAATTGGGTTAGTTTTGAAAAAAAAAGGTGGTTATTGGTAATGGTACTATTCTAGGTATTCATTCATGCTGTAATTAACTTTCCAATTGTCTTTATATTAAATGGATAGTAATCTAGAAATGTTTGTTTGAGGCACCCTAATAATGCTGACCTTGTAGTGTCATGTTTGCCTAATAAGGAAGATAAATGGAAATTAAGTCTCATAGTGGAAATCACCGTCTGATTGTTTAATTTTTGTGTGTACGTCATCGACGTTAGCGTTGATTATCAACACCCACAAATTAGTATTAAGTAGGTATTCTGTGACAACTGCAACAATAATTACTCATAGTATAGAACAGGAATAAAATCATAAGGGAAAATGTTTTATGGAAATACTTAATAATTAGTCATCGTATAGTGATAACACATTTTCATGTTTAATCTTTCTCTAAATAGTCAGTTAATGACAATAGGAACTAACTTTTTCGATTCTTGCTTCAAAGCATTATGTTTTTATGTCTGTCAACCTCAAATAGGTTTGTACGAGATCTCAAGTTATTATGGTATTCATTAAACCAGTCATTCTATAAGTTACATTATTTAAAGCTAGCTGGATTCATTTTCAATGTATTTTCGTCGTGTACCGATTTTTAAGACTTATAGTTTTGAATTTAGTGATAGTGTAAGAATCAATGTTTAGTGATTCGTAAGTACCAGATGTTTCCAAGCTTGAAAATTGGGTACCCAAATCGTCTGTCATACAGTGAAGAAATCGGTTCGAATCCCGCGTGCAGGATCGTGGACGCCTTCTGCTGAGGAGTCCCATACTGGGACGAAACGATCTTCCAGTGCTTCTAGGTTCTCAATAATGGTCTAACAGTGATCGATTCATGATTCTAGTTAAAATATAATAATAATTTATATTCTGAAAATAATAATTACAGAATTCACGCCAGTTTACAGGCATGATCAATTTGATATAAATAGTAATATTAGATGTACAGAAAAAACATGTGATAGAAGTGAGTTTTAAGTATACTAGTTTAGTAGTTGTTTAGGTAGTACATGTATTACAGCGATCCAATGCATCAGCCGGGAATTTTTAATATTTCTTAAATGGACAGCCCGTTGATTTATGAACGGAGTAATTAAGGTCATTTCGTGTGCCAGATCGAATTAATGATAATTATCTACAACTAGAGAAATTAAAACGAAAACAGAGAGCACGGAACAACAAAGCGGTAATTACCAAAATATATGAATCAGGTCTACTTAAGTGCGTGTGTCATGTGATACAGTGATATACTGTTGGTGTTATTCAAATTAGTTAAACTTTCTGGGGACGGTGTCACCATAAAGTGACAACAAGTAAGTGGTTTTACTTAGAGAATGCACTAATAAAAAATGGCTAAACATTTAAAGTACCTATAATACTACTTGTGGAATGAGATACACTTACAGGTGCTAGAGCATTCAATGCATTTTCAGAGGAGCAGTATGCATCGATACAGCGAACAAATAATGGGAGTGATTTTATCGTACGGATAGATTGTGGTAGGTTATTCCAGAGTCTAGAAAATTTACAGGTGAAGTAATTCATATAAAGAGATGATTTGGAATGAGTTTGTTTCACTAGTGCCAAGGAATTACAGATGTCATAATGAGAAGTCTCTGCAAATTGAATCGCATGATTGAATGTAAACGATAGTTTATGAAGTAGTTTGAAGAAAAAGATAAGATTTAGTTTGAGTCTCCTCCTCCATAAGGGATCTAGCCCAAGTTTATTACATATAGAACTATAAGTTAAGGTACAATCAGCTCCAAGAATACGAAGTGTAAATCGTCTCTGTACTGATTTCAGCCTTAATTTATCCTTTATGCGCGCACTGCTAAGAATAAACGTGCAATATTCTAGAAGAGGTCGAGCACAAACTTTGTACATTAGAATACGTGACTCATTGTTGTAAAGGTTTCGAGTTATGTAACCTACAAGACGTTGGGACTTAGAGGTCTGTTTTAATATCTGTTCTGTAAACGATAAGTCTTGGGAGTATCTAAGTCCTAAGTCTACTACTGTATGTAACCTAGATAACACTTCTCCATTTATGGTAATGTCTAGGTTGAGTGATGTATCGCCGAAGCATATCCATCCACCTTTAGCCGTACTAAGCTCCAGTTGCCATTTTAAGCACCACTGTGCTACCTTGTTAAGCTCCATGCTGATGCAATTTTGCATATTTTTCAGCTCATGTGGAGAAAATGAATATACTACTTTAAGATCATCTGCATATAAAAGTGGCTTACCGACACAAAAACTTTCACAAATATCATTGATAAACACTAAAAAGAGCAAAGGGCTTAAGACACTACCTTGTATTACACTACTTCTAACAGGGACAGCGTTAGACAATGAAGAGTTAATTTTAACTATTTGATGTCGATTGCTGAGAAAGGAATCAAACCAAGCAAGCAAAGGATTTCGAACCCCATAAGATGCGAGCTTACCTATAAGAAGTTGGTGGCTAACCATGTCAAAGGCTTTAGAAATGCCCAGACATAGCACTAAGACCAGATATCCTTGGCTACGTAGAGAATAGACTAAATTAATTATCCATGTATATCTAGTTGTAATTTGCAACATTGGTGCATGTGCGTGTGGGCGTGACACCCACTGATATTGTCATGTTATCCAAACGACTTAGTTGGACTGAGACATGTAGTTAAATGTTTAAGTTTCTGAGTCACAGTAGATGTATTTGCACCGAATTGTTGATTTTTAGTAAAAATGGAATGAATATACTATATTTAGGATGTTTATTATTTCATTATTTCTACTCATCTGACATCTTTTATCTCCATTAAACTAAACCTTTGTTACTCAAAAATGTTTTTAGTTGAAAGTAAAATGATTAGATTTTATCATAATTTAGTCAGTTTTTTTGTCATTTAATGTATGATAGTAGCCTTTTATAACTTCATTAATATGTGTACTCCTCTATGATGATTTACATTTATTTGGCTTTAATTTATATTCATAATGCTTTCATTTGATATAATTTTAATGTTTATATATATATTATGGAAGTTATCTTGAAAGTTCCTTGAAAAGAAAGATTTCTGTGTTGCAGTATATTTTCTTTTTCTTTTTTGAAAAAAATTAGGTTTTACAACGTCGTATCGAGAATCGATTTTTAGATTTATATACCGATCCAAAGTGTTCCACTCATCCAATTGGTAGAATAGAAGTTTTATACTTATCAAGTTTACCTATTGAAAAAGATTTATTAAACGGGAAGCGTAAAGGTTAGTAGGGTTTTTAATTATTATTATTGCTATTAGTATTATGATTTATATTCTACAATTATTAATATCGATTCGTTGGTTTTCATAAATACGAAGATATCTCTTATCCCTACCTTATTATTATTTCTTCCTTAACCTTTATATTTCTACCCCACTTTACTTTTTATTTTCCAGTGTTTTTTCTATCCTTCATTAAACATATACTTTAGGGATTTTAATTTTTGCTCATCTGTTTTTTGTGGTGTTACTAAGATCTTAGACTGACAATTCGACGACTGAATTTACATGCATTTTCATGAATGTTTGTGCTGAGTTAGATAGTTCCTTGAAGAAACCTGTGGTTTATTTCATTGATTATACTACGATATTGTATTTTTAGCGTGTTACATTGTAATCATCCTATTTGGAACTTGACACTTGAAAAACAGCAACACCTTAGTTAGACTTAACTTTGTTTTCATTAAATGACCCACTAAATTTATTGCTAATCGACATCACATTCACTATATAGAAATTCCCACAAGTGATGCGTTTTTCTTTTAAATAAGTATATCATAAGTCCTTAATAGGAAAGCACATGTTCTACATTTTAATATTAGCCTTCTCTTTTTTTGGTTGAAATCATGAATTAATTGATGTTAGACCACCGTTGGAAACCGGGAAGCACTGGACGGCCGTTTCGTCCTAGTATGGGACTCCTCAGCAGTGCGCATCCACGATCCCGCACCCCGTGGGATTCGAACCCAGGACCTACTGACCTCGCGCCTGAGCACTTAACCATTAGACCACTGAGCCTGTGAAATTTTTTACTGTTTGTTTTAATAAATACGCGCTATCACGGAATACTCAAACAAATTGGTCTACTATTTCAATTACAGCAATAAGCTTTATTATTTGGGATAAATAGGATCTATAAATGCATAAATTCTTGCCTTTTCTAAATCATTTCCAAATATTGTAAGGCAATTATCAATACACGTTGAGATTTGAGATCCAATTTCAATATTGTCTTATTGGAACAAATCAAGTTGTTCGTTAGTTATATTACTGAAGTTTTAAACTTTTTTACCTTTAAAACAATGGAAGAAACCATTTGTGTCATTGAATAAAATGGATCTGATTCAATGAGGAAAATTTTTTTTCTATGATGTCATTAACTTGAAATGTACAATGATAATTATGGTTAATTTTTTAAACATTCGTGGCTATAATAAGGTTAAGTGATGTTGTATTGTCACTCAACTAAGTTTTACAAATGAACATTTTTTGAAGTATAGAGTATAAGTTGTTCAATAGTCTTAAAATTGATAAACGGTAAAACATTTATAGAACAGTTGGTAAATATAATTATCCACTTGATGAATATTCGTTACTGAACCGTCTTCATCCTACTTTATTGTTTTGTATCACACTAGGATGTATATATGATCCTTCGTAAGGTCTGTACTAATTAATTGAATAACTATGTCATAAATTTTCATCTATTCCTTTCAACTGTTAACCTTATTTAATTGTAGGAATTTTTGCACCATATACATTTGATTCTTCTCATCCTTCTCATACATTAACAACCTTTTTCGTTACTTTCTACATATCCTATTACCAACCAATCTTTTTTTCAGGAAAAAGAAAGACTTAAACTAACCTAATCCAGCTTTTTTAAATCTGAGATATTTACATATTATCAGTGAATTATTGTATACACTAATATTTGGAATATTATTTGCGCACATCAATTAAGTGGCAGTATTTAAACATCGGTTCAAAAATATGTCATGATATTTGAGTTATAATAGTTTTGGGAGGATAAAAAGAAACGATTAATAGTTAAACGAAAATTTTTGTCTTTAAATAAATAGAAATTTATCCATTTCTATTCCTTCAAATAAAATGATTCTTATGTGGAAGTGATAATTAGATGAAAGAAAAATAATGCATTTCAAAGTTAATTTAACTCAGCTGAACAAACATTTTACTAAAGCATATATAGTAGTATGCTTTATTGACATTGGTGATCAAAATATTCCATATATCCAATACACGACTTTCTTACTGAAGATTTTTTCGCAACCATCCAACATAATTATTCTTTTATCAATTCCATTGTTCTGTGCTCAATTGTTAAATGGGTGTATAATACTCAGAGTCTTTAATACAAAGAGAGGTTTGATGAATAAAAATTTTTCAATGTAGTGGTTTGTCAGTGGTCTTTAAAATGCTAACTTTCCTGACCACTTTTGTTGCTTCACCGTAACCGATCAATCCTCAAGAAATTTTCTTAATATAATTATGGGAGAGAATGAGACGTAACAGTCAGATCATAATTCATTGGAGAGTGAGTGACGTACAAGCTCGTATCTTCTAACCACTTATTTCATCTAGTCATGTTTATTTTTTGGTTATTACGTTGTGCATAAGCATGTCACAGCTTTCCGGCGCTCCGTTATTTTCGATTTTTCTTCAGATGAAGTCTATCCATGATGGGAATTATTTCAAAGTTAATGCCTAGTACCTTATTTTACACAACAGTTGTTCTAATATTCCTACCATATCGGTCAACTGCAAAGGAAAGCAAAATTTTATCCTTATAGATTTATGCTTAGAAATGATTTTGAATTTGTTTGTTAATTGTAATTTCTAAGCAAAACGATTAACATTGCGACCTGAATACATGACCACTTATTTACAATAAAAATGTGTAGTTTCATTTTTCACACTGTTATGTCCTTAACTATACGATATCACAAATAATGACGTATACATCCGTACGAGCGGCCTAGGTTTCTGATCGGTCCTTTTTTCGCCTAGTCCTGCCTGTCAAGTCTAGAACACCAATTTCAGCCTCCGCGATATGAATCATATATTTCAAATATAATTGGTTTATATACTAGTAAAATCAGACCACATCATACCATAAAAGAGAAGTAACATTTATACAAGATCAAGCCAAAAGTGGCTGTGATTATAAGGAACTGTGACTAATAGATTAAGAATAACTTGAGAATAGTAAATCATATAACAGTAACCAATTAGGAACTTATAGTAAGAGGAACATAAATATATGTATAGTATTAGTCCACAAATAGATGCTTACTGTCTTAATGTCCCTACAACCACTGTATATAGATACTTAAACATTCTATATATTTGTAGGAGGGAACAATTATTCATTGTTCAGATTATCTTTTATTCGATGTTTTCTATGGTATGTAGTCTGATTAATGAATAAATTGATGCTGTCAAGGTGTGGTGTGTGCTACTTACATTGATATAAGTAGTATATGTCGCGAGTTAAAACGTAATATCTGGCAGCAGAAGATGAGGTGAAGATCAAGAAAGGAAGAGCGAGAGCACAATAGAATTTGTAAGAAAACGCATGTACAATGGAATGGGAGACAATGGATTAGTGTTTGCAACCGAACAGTCCAGTTTGATATGATGCGATATTGATATTTTGCGAATTGACGATTGACTTTATGGTGTTCAGATTTTATTGAGATAGTCTGTAATTTTGTGCTAAATACATTCGATTGTCCCCACCCGTGTTCTTGTTCACTACAAAGGAATCGTTTGTTTCTTATAAAAACATTTCCATTTAATTTCACTTATGTTAGCACATAACATAAAGGCGGACAAAATTATTTATCATTAGGATAAAAATCTCGTTACAAACTGACTTCAACAGAAAAACCAAAGGAAAACGAGAAGCCACTCAATAGTTGTTTCGTTCTAAATCAGGGACCCTTGCCAGTCTGTACCTATGACCTCACACAATATCAGCTCCATTGCGTCTCGTAATCAGTACTCAAGCATTAACCAACGCGCTTACTCGGAGTAAAATAGTCCACACTGCAACTTCAGTGAACTCTAAATGTAGCTCAATTATTATTCATCTTTCTGGTGGATAACTAACTGTCTATCTGGGGGCATGTTCGAATTCACTAACTACTGTTTTCTACAAAAAAACCATGGAAAATCCATTTCTTAACTTGTCGTTGATGCGTACAAGGACACATTGTCTCAAATCGGGATTAAAATAACCGACTAGTGTTTCTCATTCACCAGCTAACTTTATCCTGTAATAAAAACTTTTCACAAACCACGAAATAAATATTATTGTCAATCAAATTTTCAGTATATAAACAGGGCTTTAATTTTATTACTAGATAAATTGATGGGCTTTTCTTCTGGTTATTTTAAATTTTACTGACATTTCTGTTTATAGTTGTAGATGAAGATGAGGATTATCCTATACCAGATGTTTATAGTGAACAAGAGGATTCAGATCATGTTGAAGAAAGTGATGACGATCAGATAGCTGAGTGTGAAATAGTTGGACATAGTCGTCAAAAAAAGCTTGTTAAAGCTATGTCTGTTGGTGTAAGTACCTATTTGTATATATGTGATTTATATTTTTAATTATTATCTGTTTACTGTTTTAGTACAATATACAATTCAAACAATTGTTTCTAGTATTTAAGTTTAGGTTATTGTATAAAATTGTGACCAAATCACATTCTATTCTTTTTTGTTGTTAGCTGTTGATTTTGAACTTAATTTATGTAACTGTATTTTAGTATCTGAATTGTTTTACAAATATTCAGTCGGCCATAAAAAGACATACAACCTGATACAAATATTAATTAATTAATTAATTTTTACACAACTCACTTCAACACTACAAATTAAATTTCACAATATAAAAGTCAGCACTAGTAAAGATTAAGCATTAAGAATATAGTTAAAAATGAATTGGGAAGTAGTATAAAATAGCTTCAGATTGTGAGGATAATGAAGAATAGATCCATTTGCATTATTGTGATCTATATCTATATGATGCTGTTTAAACAACATATTAAGCCTATCTTTTGGATATTAACGCAGTTGTCTGTTTCTCCTGATACTACTCAAAACACTGGTAATTTACTTCATAAACTTTATAAACTATGTTTGGTTAGGGAACGTGGACAGACAGTTTTGTGTATCTTGTATATTTTCCTAGCCTTGTTAATTGTTTTAATATATGGTTGTTAGTAAGGCTAATAATACATTCTTGATCTGAGTTAGTTCAACGTAGGAGAGATTATTTATGTTGTCTGGGTATCTGGTGTTAGTGTGGGGGAATTGTATGCATTCTGGAATTTCCCCCGTTCGTCTTAAATAAACGAGCGTAATATCAGCTTTCCACGGGAAATTAAACGTCACGTATCTTGACCCAACAGTTTTTAACATTCAGTTTACTTCCACGTTAGCCGAGACATTATCTGGATGCTGGGAACAGGTCATGGGTAATGCACCCGACAATCGATGAAAGTTCACAACCTCACCGTTTCTGACGTTATGATATTAGTGAGAATGTCTTTTACGACCACCAATTAGTTAATAAGTCGTATCTCAGCAGCATCACATCATAGCTTACAGAACTCATATCGAGTATGAATAAATCTTCAGAATATTCCAGTATGATTATTTATAAGAAAATCTTACCTGGTTTCTTAAAAAAGTTTGTAAATTCACTTGGAAACATCACAAAGGTTTCTTTGTTTTTTGTTTATACGGTAATATATTGGTTATCAAGCCATTTTTTGACTATCTTTTGCATACCAAACATTTGTAGTGTATCAGTAAAAAAAAGAAATCAGAATATCATTTTTTTTCTTAATCTACATTTCTTTTCTTAAAAGTGTGTAAATGTAAGTAAAATCTTAACAATATATTTGAGTCAATTAACTTATCTAATATTTAACTGTTTACTATTGTATATTTTTGTGACCAAGTGAACTAAAACAAAGGCTATATACATGTGTTCTCGTGTAGCTAACAGAGCAAATATGATAACGCCTTACTTTTTTTAAAAGTAAGAAATAAAGTAATCATTTTCCATCAGTGTGCTTACACGCTATGATTCATTAATTTAAATACTTAGTTTCTGAATAAAGGGACAAAATCTTAAATCTTATTCCATATAGTAAAATTCTATTATACAAATTCATATTATTCTATGATCCATACATAAAATTGTTGTAAAATTTACTTTGGAGTGTACATTGACAAAAACATTGTAAATTATCTGTTTTTTAGATCAATGTTTCTTTGCTATTATATTAAAAGGGTTTTAAATTTTCTTTTTTAAAAGTATTCGAGCTAGAAAAGATATACACTGCTCTTTCTAACTAAAATTATTACCTATGAATAATGATCATATCTCAATTTAATTATTCTTAAAATTACACTTATGACTATTCTCTTAAAATTTTCCGTATACTTTACTGGGAATTGTGCTATTGTTACATATCCAAACCGTGTTTGTTTTATTGTTTATCTAAAATGTCAATTTTCTCATCTTAGACGTTAACCTTATTGATGAATGTGTAACTGTTTAATTAAATTATTATCTAACAAAATATTAGATAATTCCATCGAGAAAATATGCTTATTTGGTTAGTTTAAAATAATTAACGTTGTAATAGTGATTTATGATGATTGATATAACCCTACTATGGTTTTTGATATGAATCGGCCATTATAAAACTGTTCCATCTTAATTATTGATTAAGCAGGAGAGAAAATTCATTTGAAGTTGAACCAAACCTCAGGATAAGTAAATACTAAGTCATTAAATCGAGCATTCACAGGTTCATATTTTTATTTTTTACATTTCCACCAACAAATGTGGATCTGTTGATACTATTGCTAATTAACAAAATTATAAATACTAGATATTAAAAAGGCATTTCTATATTGAACATAGGTTTATATTTACCACTCATAAACATATACTTATAAGGAGTTTTAAGAAAAACACTTTACATTTATCTTACATCATATTTGACTGTCTCGTGAATGGTTAAATTTAACAACTGTCTTTAATGAAGTGTAATTTCTATATTTACGGGTAATTTTTAATGTCTCTAAGGCATTACAATTACTGATAGAAATGTGGAGATTCGGTAATGATAAATCTTCAAACATGTACTATGAGTAAATTTTACATGTACACATAAGGTGATTATATTAAATCTTATGAAAACATGAATCAAATATGCATTTTAAAATTTTCACTTCATTTCCTGTTTTAATTGTTTCATTGAAATTTTTTCTAGCAAAAGCAAATTAAGCAAAAATTAATTGGTTTACTGAAAAAATTAAAAATTAGTGATCCTAATGAGGTGAGTTATAAAATATTACAATAAGCATTGTCTTAATCTCATTAATCCATCTTTATTTATTTATTTATTTACGAATAACCAATTACATTTTTAATGATAACCTTTATGTATTTCATTCCGTTGTTTAATTGACCGTAGATATTTTCAATATATATGCGTTTACTTATTCATTCATTGAAATTAGTCAATATGAGAGCAAGAATCGCATTCTATAAATCAACATTCTTTCCTTTGGGCAGTTCCAACTTAAAAGAAACGAATGATAATTACTTTTTTATCCGTAAGCGAATATGTTAGTTTTAAGTTTACCAACAGTAAACGAAACAATCCTTTAGTCTGTATGTATGTATGTATGTGTGTTTAGGAATACCAGAATTCTTATATAATCATATATTGTACAATGTTTCATCGATCATTAGACCTACTTTATTCTATTCTATCGCGTATTTAATTGTGTATGTACATATCCCAAGCTAGATTTTCTACAACCTATCTACATCATTTATTATAAGTTTATTTCCGTCTAACATTATTTATTTAGGTTTCCACAATCACTATAAAATTCTTATAGTATGTGTGCATATATTTTGGAAACATTTCATTGTGGTTTATTCTTTCCTAATTTTGTACTTCAGTCTCAGGAATTATATTTATCTACTCGGGACATATTGTATACACGAAAAAGTCAAACTGTGAAACAATATAACATCATATAGAGCTTCACCATTTGATTTTTTAATAGTTATGTCAATTGCATCGGAAGATTTAAAAACAAGAACTGACATTAATTTGTGAACGACAATAAAGTAAGAAACACGAAACAAGAGTGGAACACTGTTCTCAGATATGTTTGATTTCCAAACTGTTCACTCTGTAGCTTTGTATTCTCAATCTTTTGTGATCAGACTAACGTCATGACGGCACCGAATGTTGTAGGTCGCTTTGAATTTTATTATACATAGATTAACTTAGTCTGTTACATTTCTATCACACAGCTGTGAAGATATATGGACGTTTCTATTTTTGTGGGCTTGTAAAACAGTGTTGAAATTTTTTGTTGAAGTACTTCAAATTTTCATGATGCATTGTGTTTCCGATGCTAATGTATGCTAATAGTCAACTAGCTAACTGCGAATTAACCAATTTATCATCGAATAAACAGACAGCATCAACTAGGTACTTAAGGTTTAAATGTCTCTGTAGTCTCCTCTACCAGTTCTGTCTTCTGAATATCATTAACAAAAGAATGTAAGGATTGTACAAATCCACCTCGTCATACTGCTGTTTTCAAACGTCGAAGTTAGGCTGTTGTATGCTGTCACTTTATGTAATGTGGTCTAAAAGATCTTGAAGATTTTGAACTTCTGGAATACCAGTCCTCTATGATGATTATTTTAAATCACAAATTCGAACAACTGGTAGTAACCATAATGTCAAAAATTATCATAATTATTCATCTGCACTACATATGCAGATTTTTAAGGATTTGGCTAAGAGTGTAGATGTAATCAACCCAATCTTGATGTTAGGAAAACTCGAATTGTTTTATGCAAATCAATCGTTCATGCTTTTTGTATAGTTTTCTCAGTATGGCGGAAGTTTTCACTTTAAATGTAAAAGCTCATCAAATATGGATAACTATTCAACTATAAATTTTGACCTCTTGTGTGGAATTCGTTGTGGATTGTTAAAAAACTTAGCATCACAGTTCTGTGTATAATTTTAATCAGAAGTAATCCTGTGCTATTGTTACAAATTGTACTGTAACACTGTTAAACGACATCGATTGTCCTCAATCAAGTCAGTGAATCTATTGTTAGTCTTTTCATTTGGAACAGTTTTCTGATTACCTTGGTAGTCCAGTCTTTCAGTAATATGCAACGTAGAACCTGATGTATGGGACTGCTCAAGTGTTGCTACACCATATCAGCATAGCGAGTTAAATTTATCCCGATAAATCCCAGAGTAGTAAAAGTAGTAACACTATCAGTAGCAGTCGTAGAAAATATTAAGTGAACAAAAAAGTGTAAGAAGTTTTTGGAATTCAAGAAGTGAGGAAAGATTAAAAATAAATGCACTTGACCATTGCGAATGATCCTTAGTCATGTCACCGTTGGTTACTGTAGTTGGTAAATATTCATTAGTTTTTTGTTTAAAGTCTTGCTAATAAAATTGGATAAGAATACGTAGCCGATCTTGGGATGAAGGTGCTTACAAAATACAGTTTGGTTCGTTTTGTTTTCACATTAGGATATTTTGTAATCGCAAATATTTCTGACCTTATTACTTAGAAAGAAAATTAAAATCATCTTATGTTTTCGATAAATAAAGTAAGAAACACCTCTTGTTTCACTCATCTTTATCTTTGAATGTCATAAAGGTAACAGAGTGTTTGTAAACAGTACTTTGTTTATTTTTACCGAGTTTTCTGGTAACATTCGTTTTATACATGATAGAATAATTTGTCCTTGACCGAAAAAAGAATACTTCTATTATGCAAAACTTGCCATAAGATCAATTTTTAAAATTATGTATACCTATTTCTATGTAATGAAATTAAAATGAAAAATGATCCATTTTATAATTACGGTAATTTCTATTTGTTTAGTTCACATTTCATTTACTTAAAATAGTAATTCACTTTTCTGTATTATAATCTTCGCTTTATGTAATGTTATCATTTCTAATTTTTCCCTTACTAGTTTATGCTAAATATGTTAGTCTAAATAATCATAACTGAACTTTTTCTATTTATTACATTTATAGGAAAGTGACAACAATATTTTCTTACTTAAATTGTAAATAACTGTTTTCACAAATGAATTAAAATCTAAACTTCCGAATATACTCTAAGTGTAAACCTATAGAGCTAAATGGATGTTATTTTCTGTTCAATCTTTCGTTTTTTCTTAAGTAAATAACATTCTCGTGTTTATTTTTCTTCATTTATGTCTACATCTCTTTCTTTTCTATTCTTCGCAAAAACAACCACGTTATTCTAACTTAATAGGTTGATTTAGATGTGGCTACAACATCGAAATTATGGGATGAAATTGATCGTATAGCGACAGCTAGTGACATCGAAGAGGATTCAGATGCGGAAAGTTATAATTTAGTCTCGATTCAGAGTACACCACGACCAACACTTCGACCTTTTTTCGCTACAGCCGGTAGCTCTGATGATACATTGAGTGCCGTAAGTTAACTAAAGTTTTTCGTTGTTTTAAATTTATATAAACTCTACTAATTTGTTTAGTGATATAGTTTTGTGTTGGCTTATTTGTAAATTTTAAAGTTCATTTTTATCATAAATTGACATCAAATGAAGAATAAATGAAGCCCTTCAACCGTTTGGATATTTCTTCCATTCTAGTTTGAATTTTTCTCATTAGGGCTCGTTCACAACATTATACAGTATTAAACCTTGGGTTTTGCATCTTGTAGTGAGCATAATGAGTTTACACTACTTAATAGATATCCACTGATTCACACAGAACAAGAGATTATCGTCTTTCTTTACTGTTCTCTCTTTAAATTATCCTTCATTCGTAAGTTAATATTTACTAGATTTTTGAAGGTATTCACAATTTTATTAAGACAAAGAAGTAGATTTTACTTCTCTTTATGCATTCACAGTATGTTGTAATTAAAATCTTGAGCAACTGGGCTTCTACTATTTTACTCCGTTATCTTGTCTGCAAATTTCTTAATGATTTATTTTCATTGTGTTCTCCAATTAAAAGTTTTATAGCGTCATTTACACTAAATAAATTTAGTCCTCTAATAACATGGATTTTCAACAGTAGATTTTGTTAGGAACTCTAATTTTACAAAGTAGTTACTTCATGTAAAGACGTTATAAATGTGTATTGACGTGTCAATATTAAGGTTGTTGTGTTATACGTAACATATATGATCCCCAGTAAACGTTAGAACCTAGGTTACATCCTAGTTGTCACTCGTCACCAAGATATGTCCGCAATCTTTAGGGAATTGATGCTCAACAATAGGGTTCAAACTCTCACAAAAGACAGAAACAGTTGTTGGTCCCAACAAAACTCATCTTACTCATTCCTTTGATCGAAGGACTTCCAGAATATATGCTTGTAATAAATATAAACGAACCCTATAGTATTGTCGCCCTATGAAGTGCCTGACTCACTTCTGTTTTCGTTATAGAAAGAATTTTCAACTTTTCGGGTGAGATATTGGTATTTTTTAAATGTCACATTACACTTAAACTTATAAAGCTAAAATTGAAATACTCTAAGGGTTATGCTTTTAGGGAATAAATAATGTTAAACAGAGTGAGGCAGTTTTGCCGTGTATTCAATGTATTTCATCACAAGATACTTTTACAAACTCTCTATTCACTTCTGCTAGTTGATGCAATTATTTACCCTAGATGACGTTAGGTATAGTGCTTACATGATATATACTCATCATTTGATGGATGATCAGTTACCATTAGTTAGCTTCAAATTATGACGAACATAAATAAATTCTCGAACTTGTAAAGTTATTACGACGTAGGTTGATCAGATGTATAGAAAGTTATGCATCATTTCACTCAAGTTACATATCTTCGGTTTACGAGTACTTTCATTGCTATCATGAATTGTCTAATTTTTACTTAGATCTACAAGGTAACAGTAAACTGTTTAAAACACGCAATATCAGTCACTATTGGTATTTATGTTTTAAATGTATTCATTCTGTTTTGTTGCAAATTATCCTTTCTAACTAAGATTATCTTGTCCTTTTAAAATATGTCATTTCGAATCTAGGCAATATAATACAATTGGTTCTTTTCCTAAATTTTAATTAGAATGAAAACAATATGAATTTAAAATACTTTGTATTCATTATATTCTGCTATGACTGTCGTGATTGACATTTTTAAAAATCCAATATCGCATAAATAGTCTTCTCTGTTCTCTATGTGTTGAGTGTCTGTTACTCAAAATCATATCATTAATTAAATAATATTGAAGGTTGTGGTTCATATTTCCTATGTTCCACTTACTGTATAATAATACAAAATAAGTTAACTAACCACTGTCAACATATTATTTGCTCATTGAACTCAATTAGTTTAGTTTAAGTAAATTTTATAATTCCTAGTAATATTTTGCTGAGGAGTCTCATATTAGGACAAAACGGCTGTCCAGTGATAATATTTTTTATTTGTCTGCATAGTGCATTATCTGTTCATGTGTGTATTATTTGTGACCACCACAATTTGTTTCATTTTAACAAAGTAATTATATTTGACACATTTGATTTACATGTTACATAGTTTGTATGAAATTGATATAAATGTTATTAAATTAATGCATAATCTTTATTTAAAAATATTAGGTCAGTATCACTTGAAAATTTATTCACGTAACTCTAATAATAATACGATTATTATTAATAGCAACAACAATATAAACTTATCTTAATGGAAGTTATCATAATTTTATCATTTCACTCACCTTAAAAAAAGTAAAACATATGATTGACAAGTTCAAAGATTATGTCAGTATTTATTTATTATAAATTGTACTAATATACATTCTACTAGTCCAGATACTCGACTTCTCACAGTTTTAATCATTATTTACCTACTCAGTTAATTTATCGTAAATAAATGTGTTTATCTTGTTGGACAATTGTATGTATTTTATATATGCAACTTCTACTCTCACTGGGGTTTAGTTTGTTTTGAACTATAGAGTATTTACCTGCAGACATGCTACTATATAAATATGCACTTTAAACTCTCATTGTAGATGGCGAAATAATTTTTTTGTTTTTGTTGTGTCATTTTTAGGATGCTGGAGCGAAATTGTTGAAACGCCTACAAAGAGAGTTACTTGCCCAAAGTGAAACTGATACATCACCGGATACTGTACATCTACGATCTATGTTAGCTTCAGTTGGTAAATCGGTAAGCTTTCAAAACCCATTCGGGAAATCTTCTGGAAAGTCCGATTTATTACCTTTAGAGAGATTTTCCGCACTACCAGGTTCACCTACGACAACATTTACTGATTCTGGACCTTTGCATTCCACTGATTCTTCACTCCTTCAACGAGGTGGTGGTCATATGATGAGTTTAGCTGGTGGCCGTTTCGCCAAACGATTTGCGCATATTCGACGACGATCTAATTCAAAGCATATTTTTGGAATGCATAGACCCAATAAATCTAACTACAACCAGGAATCTGAAACGGTTAATCAACGTGTAGAAAATATTACTATGGAAAGTGTAAGTAGTTGTAAATTTTTTTTTATTGTTTGTTTTCCTCAATTTTCCTAACTTTTTTATTTATTTACTAAACTATTCGTTCTGTTTTATTTATTCATTAAGGAATCGTCAGATGATCACTCTCCAACTGATGGTGGATTAGATCCTTCTTGTTTATCTTTATCTCGTGGACAAGATACAGTTTTTGATTATTCCGCTTTACATAATTCTTCGGGAGATTTCTCTCAAGCAATAAACCCTACACTTTGTTCTACTCCAGAAACTAATCGTTCGTATATATTAGGCGATAGAGGAATTTCCGACGGGAATATTGCTTATGATGAAAAGAAAATTCATGAGAAAACACCAACCAATTGTAATACAGATTTCTCAACTAGTGAAAATAAATCTTTTGAAGCATCAGCAAATTCTTTTGGTGTAAGTGTTTGAAATAGTGTAGAAGTTTTTCGAATTTGTATGCCTAATATTATCTTTTCGTTTCATTTTTAACTTTTCAAAAGTTTTTTTTTATGAGTTAGGTGTAAGTCGCAAGATCCAAACTTTCTTTCAAAGAAATTTGTTTTTGATTTATTCCGCAAACACTTGGATGTAATAAGATCTTCGAATGTTTCAATTAATTTTTAAAATATTTTTCATCAAAAACTGATACCATAAAGTACCGAACTGCTAGGACATACGTTCACCTAAGTTACTATTAAGACATTGACCTTCATTTCGTTTTTGCAGCATCTATATCACACTCAATTACTAAGTTGTAGTTGAAAATGGTGAGACTATAATTGATGGACGACCTTTGAGGGACGCTAAAGTGACCTTGAAAGTGTCTACCTACTTAATAGGGCTAAATGAGGGTTATAAAGCAGTTTGAAGAATAAGAATTATGATCTACAGGCCACCCACCAGCACTCTCCATCCAACTTTGTCCTGGGCAATCCCTTCTAGCTCTTTCCAGTTGTTAATAATCGTTTTTCATATCTGCTCTCATTTCCCGACATAGTGTGTTTTTCGCCCTTCCGCCTCTCCGTTTCCCTTCAGGATCCCATATCTTCCAGAGTTTCGCCACCACGTGTGATTTGGTTGATGTTCTCCGTGTTGTATTTGAGGATCTTGCTTTTTCCTTTGTGTACGTTGTGGCCTACTGATGCAGAGGTTGCTGCTACACTAGTTGTCTTCATCTGCATTTGTTCGTGTGTATGGGATGGGAGGGCTACGTCATGTGCGAAGTCCAAATCGTCTTATTGGTTTTGAGCTGTCCATTGTATTCCGTGTTTTCCTTCAGATGTCGAGGTCTTCATAATCCAGTCGACCACCAGAAGAAAGAGGAAGGGAGAGAGTAAACAACCTTGTCTGACTCCGGTCCTTACTTGGAATGCATCTGTCAGCTGTCCTCCATGCCCGACTTTGCACTGTAGTCCGTCGTATGAGTTCCGGATAATATTGACAATCTTCTCAGGAACTCCGTAGTGTCGAAGAAGTTTCCATAATGTTCTGCTGTCTACATTGTCAAACACCTCATAATCAATGAAGTTGATGTATAGTGACGAATTCCACTCAACTGATTGTTCGACGATGATCCGTAGTGTCGCGATTTGGTCTGTGCACAACCGATCCTTACTGAATCCAGTTTGTTAATCTCAAAGTTGGGCGTCTACCACGTCTTTCATTTTCTAAAAAAATCTTAGAAAATGTTATATATCCATTTGAAGCCTTAACTCAAAATGATGTGTACAACATTTCTTTTAAAATTTAACATACTTCGTCGATTGAATCTTGCTTAACAGAAACAGAAACCGTAATATCTTCATATAATTTTCCTTATATTAAGATTTTATGGTTTATTTTAATCATTATTCAATCAACTAAGTATGGTCATTTTTAAAAGAAATGTTGTACACATCATGTTGAGTTAAGGCTTCAAATGGATATATATCATTTTCTATGTTTTTCGGCTTAATAAGATTATTTCTTAACAACAGGCCATATTTCTTTGCTTAAAATAAGACTTATCGTAACCCATGTTTGGAGACTCTGGGTCACATGGCTCAGAATCGATCACATTGGCGTACGTGTATAAACTCTGTCTTACCTTAAATTATGAGATTAAAATTACTCTATACCTTTCGTTCTACGAACCGATATCTTTCTCTCGGTATGATATCCTTACATGCAAACTTTTCTTATTTACTACCATTGAAATAACTGCTTTTATTAATTAAGTGTCCATCTTGTTGTGCTAATGATGTATGGCAACTTGAACCGATGCATATATAAACCTAGTCGTACGTTATAGCTGACTAAATGATTGTTTAGTTTCGTTAAAAGTTGTTTTTAAATAAACCTTTTTAAGTAGGCATATTCATCCAAATATTAATTTGAAGGACAATAGATATTTGATATTTAAGTATGACTTGTTTATGTTAGATGTTGACTGGTATGTTTATGATTATGTAATCTGTGTAAACCATGCAGTAATAACCACGACTCATTAATTGCAATTCGTTGTACAAGATTTCTTGAAACACTCATTGTGACGAGTGATATTGCTGGCCACTTATCTAAATTAAAGTTAAATAGTACTCATTTTTAACGCAGTACTCAATTAGCATTTACTTGAAGGATTTATTCACAGCTTTTATGTATCAGAGACTGATATCATACTATGCTAATATTAAGGCATAGTATTATATGTTTTCACAAGTTCAGCATCTATTTTATATTCGTCGATCAATATGAGTATAACTATTTATTCAGCTTCTATTTGAATACGAAATATCGATCTAAATAATAACTAACTGCCAAATATATGAGCATAACAATTTTCGATTAATTCATTAAATAGGCTGTAGAAAAAATGTCCCTTTCAGTTTTCTATATAAATTAGATTTTAAAAAGAACTCATTAAACAAGTATGATTTTATATGTACTCTTTGAAGCCTAACCTATGCTATGCTTTAAAATGAGTGAAAACGATGTCACTATGCTTTAATCATTAAGCCACTCCTTATTATAATCTAAATATTTGTACAATTGCAATTATTGTTGTTTTTATAAATCTTCAGCTTATTTACTTGGTAAGCATATGACTGGATCCATAGTACTACATTTTAAACAACTAGTCACTCGTCAGCTTTCATACAAATGTCTAGTGCAGGAAAGAAATCTGTTGAAGTATTATTAGTACTGGTATTAGGGGGAGTTTGTGAAAAATATTGAATACACTATATTCCACATCACTAACACCGAGCTTAGTTGGACAACTTTTTAAATGGTTCTAACTAAGGTTAGTTTATGATGCAAACTATATTATTGTTACTTTTAGTATTCCGATGTATTTAGGGATGAAAATAAGCGTGCTTACTACTTACAATTACATTTTAACAATGTGATCTACGTCATGGATCTAAAATAAAAACATGTATGTAGGAATCATATTATTTTTCTAATCTGATATAGTTATACATGTTATATAAAGTTCATTCATCAAGTTTTACAATTCAATTATTGTTAGTATTATACTGGTAGTTTTACCTTCTATTGAGTACTTTGTTGTTCTTTTTACTTCGATAATTACTTTTAAATTCATATTGTGATGGTAGAGTAACCTTTTGACCTTGATTTTAATTTTATGTTGCTTTACTAGATTAGGTATATAATTGAATCCTAGCTTTCTATTAATTGTTTATTTCAAGGTTACAATGTTGATGATCTATTATAGCGATCATTATCATCAATCCCGATATGTAAATATGATTGGTAATAATCTTGATTGCTTTTGTTACTTTCATTGTTAATATATCTGTTTATAACTGAGTCGTGTTGGCAATTGAAAATACTAACAATACGATAACACGCTTTTTTTCTCTCTCACCCTCATGCTTCAACTCCCTTCTTTTTTCAATAAAATTTCATGTTAAAGAGATACTTGTAATCAATTTTTCATAATATAAAATGTCATTAGGTAATGTTGGGTGTAACAGTTGTGCGTTTACAAGATTGAGGTTTACGTTTTCTTGGTGAAGATGTTCGGCCACTGAATTATTCAGTTTACTAGTTAACATCCGTCTAACTCCATAGGTATTAGTGGGAACGTTTGCTAAGTCTCATTATTCTCACGTTTCTTGTCTCTAAATTATGTTCACTAAAGCAGTTGTTTTTGCTCAGATAAAGTTACTACAATGATTTAAGAAAACATTCATGTCATTGAAGCTTTTCTATACCAACAGTTTCAATCGGCTTCTATTTCCAACTGCGATTCTATATCTGTCGTAATTGTTTGAGAATATACCGTTTAATTCACCATGTGCTAGTAGTATATGTAGCTAGAAACATGACTCTTTATATAAAAAAATTTACTTCGTAGATAAATGGTGTATCTGTAATATCCCGAGGAGTAGAAAATTAGATTTTCTGGCGTTTCGTGACTTAGTGTAAGTCACTTTTTCAGAGAATAAATAACCAAATAAAAATTAATTCAAGTTTATTCGAAATTATCAAATCAAATGTTGGTAATGATACCTTATTTCGTAGATATACATATATTAAAGGACCTTCGAAAAACAAAGGTAAAAGTAATTAATTTTCTTAGGGTTAATGAAAAAAGACTTCCAAATCAATACTAATTTATTTAGGTTGAAATCATGAATGGATTTATATTAGACCACCATCTAGTATGGTCATCCAGTGCTTCCCGGTTTTTAATGGTGGCCTAACATTGATCCATTCATGATATCAACCTAAACTCAACATTCTCTGCAACCCTACACTAATTTATTTAAACTGCCAAGAAACTATACACTGTTCATAAAAGTCGTCAAAAGATAGAATACTTATATCTAATCACAACATTTAAATAACTTGATATTATAATTTATACAATCACTATAAACTGGGAAGAAGTAAATAAGAGTAAAATTATGGAAGTGTTTTTATAGTTTTAAATTCTTAAGGAATGAAACTTCAACTTTTTATAGGTTCATATTCTTATAAATATCGATTAGATATTTAGATACATATCTATCCAAAATTTTCTCTACACGGATGTATAAAATAAGCGAAAATTAGCTATCTCGTTAAGTATGAATTTAGGTTCAGGAAAATTATTATTGGAATCAATGTTTTCGAACATAACGACTATTGTAACGGAAGCATTCAGACAACAGTAGGTTATATAGTTACTTGTATTAATTATTCTAAAATTATTTATGATCATGATCAGAATAGGTTTTGTAGAGATTGTAGTAATTTTTATAGTTGAATTCATGAGTATGTAAACTAGACCACCATTGAAAATTTAATGGTTTAGCTTACATTGACTCATGAATTCAACTATTAAAATATAATTGTGATCAATCTGAAGATACTGTTTTTCTCATAATGACAGAATACAATTAAGACAAAATAACATTCTTTTGTTTTGTTGAACGTATTTGTTAACACGTTATCCATTGACTTGAGAAGAACACACAAATGATGCATACCGAAAAAGATAACCTTAGTTTTGATTGACTACCTTAAATGATATGTCTCGAAATCAGTTTCAGTGGTACAGATGTATTCATTTTTTATCTTTTGTTAAACTTCGGAATTTCAACATTTTGCTATAAGTTTTAATCAGTCTTATTAAAATTTTATTTTTCTGAAAAAGCCCATAGTATAGTTCATTACTTTTTTAATTTCTACTCATTATATTTCCCTTGTACTTATGTGTGATGTGGTGGCTTGGATCGATGCATATTTTTTCCCCATTTCTACAGTTTTATAACTATCTGGTTAAATTAGTCATTCATTTTGGAACTCGATAGTAACATTTGAATAAATAATTTCATATAGAGAAATCGTAAAATTTCAACCGAAGTATAAGTTGTATCCAGGACATATTTATCTCAGATTATTGTTATGGTGAACTGTATCAGATTTTCTAGTATCTTATCTTTTCAAAACACTAATCAAGTGTAATTTAACAGAGAATTGAATTGTCTAATGAGTTATGATAAGAAGACTGACAATATGACAGGAATTTCCAAAACATGACTTGAAGGAGAGTACACGTGTTTGTCGTCTGACAATTCATTTAGTCACAAGACGATTATTAAATAAGCAAAAAACTACTGAACATATATTAAGTTCTTATCTTTTGAATGATTTCCTTGTTCATAAAGAAATTTTCTAGTATTTCACACTTCTGTTTTGCGTAATAGCTTCGTGTAATTTCTGTTGTTATGAGATTCAGTAAACACCTCATAAGAAATTTGATTGGTAAGTATTTTAACAAAATATAATTTGTAGCTTTTATCATACATACTATACAATATTAGTAGTATGTTGAATCCAGTTGTTTAGTGGTGTAAATAGCAATAAATTAAGTATTTACAAATTAATAAATTGGAATAAATAGATGAATGATAAGACTGCGAAATGTATAATCTTATAAGTAGTCATTTGAGCTACTGTGCCACAAATCTGTAAAAGAATGTTACATTTTTAAATGAGTTTTCGTTGAATTTTTCTCATCTGATATTCTTGTTGCTCTTTTTTAGACTTCTGCGGAAATGAATCCGTCAAATTTAGAAAAACTAGCAAGTGTCACATTTATTGTTGGTAGTTTCGAAAAATCTGGAAAAGTAAGATCATTTGATGCATTATTTTTAACTCTGCTTTGTTATCTTTCGAGTACTTTTCAACCATAGTTATTTTCTCATGAAGCTGACATCTTTGTATTTATACACAATGCTAAAACCATTCTTCATTGGTTTGAATAACATGATGTATGCTTTATCTGGTCAAAATAACAGACTCCTCCATCCATATAGTTTTCTTTGTTAGGCGTAATACGAACCTAGGTAATAGATTTGATACTTGTTCATAACCTAGCCTGTAGAAACCGGGTCAAGTCTCTGTGATGGCTTAATAGTTAAAATATTCATCGGTTGGTTTTGTCGCTTTAAACTCCAATTCATTTAATTCGGTTTAGGCAAACACATGTTCGAAAGTGGAACACGTTAATCTCTACGCGGTTAATAATTCATATTTTTATGTTTAAACGTAAACCGACCGACCTATTTATTATTTTCAAGATGATGTTCAATTTTTAATTTTCCATACTGTCTTATTGAAACTAAAAATCTAGTTAGTTATGATATGATACATTCGTCATATAGTGGAACCAATGTGATAGATATTATCTATACATGAAATACCAAACAGTTTGAGAAAACAGCATTCACCTTAGATGAGAAGATTCATATTGCTAGCGTAATATGACTCCATTAATACGTTTTTTTTTGTTGAAAATACGATAAACCACCAGAAGAGCCAATTCAAGTGGACAACAGATTAAGCATTCAATACATGTAAACAATAGTGTGAATCTGCAATTCGTCTGAAAACAATATTCGTGGGTCTCATCTGCACAAACCTGTTCAAGAAGTTCGCCACTATTGGGTTCGTTCTTTTGTTTATCTATATGGTGTGTCACCTAGATACATGCAAGAATACGAAAGCTATATAGAGATGTGCCGGACAAGATAATCACAGGATATCATATCGCCTCTAATTCGTGAAAAAAATTTCCTCCATCTGCTTGGTTGTTGATGAGACTGAAAAATTCAAATATCACCGGTGAAATTTATAGGAACGTCTGAAAGTTATTCTGTGTTTGATGCAATTAGTAACTACATACTGAGTATAAAAGCACTAAAGTTCAGTTACCGACTCCGAATGAAGTATATCTTGCCATATTCCCTTTTAGTACACTCCTAAAGTAGTACTGATATATTCGTACATCGTCCGGAAATTTATAATCACCCGAAACTATCTGTCAATAATTTATGTAATATAGGAATAAGCAACTATATATTTTGCAAGTAGATAAAATACGTATGTGATCGAATTTTCTAAGTTCAATACAATTATTCCACAGTAGGAAGACTAAACAAAGACGTAACGCGATTCGATTGCTGAAAAATAAAGTGACCTCTCAGTTAACAGCTGCACCGACAAGATTCTCAACACCAGTAACTGATTCACAATCATTTCATCAGTTCTTATCATTAACATTGATCAACAATCACCTTTTACATCTGTTGTCATGTACGTAAACGACTGAGAAGGAAGATTAAAACTCATCTTCACACGAACTCTCAGTGTCAGTTAACCAAGAAAATTCAATGTTAAAGACCAAAGTGTTAAAATATGACTTATGAACATTCTTTTTAGAACAATGTATATAACTGTAAGCTTCATTAACATCAGTGTCGTTCAAACTGATTTGGTGGTCATCCTCTTGTTTGGGAAGAAAAAAAGAATTTTAGTCAATTTCACCTCGGACCTTTTAATAATATACTTCGAAACACATGATTGTGTATTCAAAATCAAACAATATTTTTACACATTTCGTTGTAAAATATTTCACCATACTTGCGTTTATTTATCTGACCCTCTACTTTGGGACCTGGATGATTTCACTCAAGTTATTGATAATTTATTCGTATTTGCTGGGAAAAGCACTGATATATGGATTTTCATATTCTTCACCTTAGTACAATAAATGCATAAAAAATCACAAGACCTGTAAACTGGTATTTTAAAATTTTAAAATCAGAATAATTTTTTATTTACTTACAACCATAGACTATTAGTTTTATCAAGAAAACTTATAGACTACCTGCATAATGTTTCTTGATGTTTTCTAGAACTATCAGGTTATAGCTAAACCTCGTAGATAATGAAATGAACCGTTGTAACTGACATAAATCTTTCGTGGTACTTTCCTTGAGGGATTGTTATTGTTCATTTATTTATATTTCCTTACCTTATTTTCTTCATATTAGTATAATCTTACATTGGCATTTATTTTTAAATCGATTATGCGTTACTAATATTGTAATTTTAATTCATAGTTCACATAGTAGCGTACATACAGTTTACATCATGGTCAGACTTTATCAAGATAATTGTTTAAAATCAAGAATAACTAGAGGGTCATTTCGTCCTAGTATATGATTCCTGAACAGTACACATCTATGATCTATCCAGAGATCGAAGCCCGGATCTTCAGGTCTCTCAGCAACCACTTGATTTTTAGACTACTGTGTAAGCATATGAGTATTCACATTTCTACCTTCAGTCAACTGGTGAAGATCTTGGGCATGATTTATGGGAAGCTCGTGCATATGAATTGTTAAGGTGTCCTATATCAAGATAAAAACAGTTACCGAATGTTTCTAGACTTTCACTAGTCATCTAGTTTTAAAGTGAACTACAAGTTAAACAATCTCCGCACTTGCTCTATGCTACTAATATTCATATTAATTAAGTTTTTAAAATGTTTTTTATTCGTTCATGTTTGCAGATTGTATTTAGTCTACTATCTGAATTAAATCTACGTTTATTTAACGTAAATTCACTCATTGAAATGCGTACAATTTTCACACGTTTGGCTAATGAAGCACAAAGCTATACACGACGTATATCTGATGGTGATTATATTAGAATTTGTATACTCGGTGGAAATTTATTAATTAATCTTGTCTTACGTGCTTATGTTGATCAATTAAGCTGTAGATCTACAGAATTGATAACTGCTTTTCGATTTTTCATTATACCAATTGATGGATTAACTAGATTTATTCATCATTCATCAGCATTACAACATCAACGAAGTCGGAACAACCTAATGAAGACTAATCAGATATCAGAAGTTGGTAGTCAACAACGGCAGCAGCATACAATAGGTACACCAAGTAACACTGGATGTAATCAATCTAATCTGAATGATTGTAAGTTATTCTCACTGTATTTAGTATTTAGTCATTCATGATTTTATTTTGTTCATTTAATCATTCTCGTGGTTGTTGTTATTTTTCTAAAAATAAAACAACAACAATTTTTGCCTCTGAAGAGTACTAAAAGTTCTTATTAAACGAGAACATATCAATGAACATTATCGTTCTCACGAATTGATTATGGAATAGTAATAATAATATTGTCTAGTGCTTAAATAAATCAGATTTGAGTTTACTTCCCTCCAACCACCTAACATCAAATATTGTTTCTAATTATATTCTCTTAAATCTTTGCTCTAATATCCAGATATATTATGCATAAGCACATATATGTAAAACATCAAAACAGTTAAGGTCATTTTGTAGGCTAATGATAAGAGTCATGTAAACCATAGAACTATCAATAATAATAAATTTTCACTTGGAATTTCTATCACGTACGATGAGTTTTTATCCAGTTCTAAAGTATATAATAAATAATCTAATCTACCAGACAATCACTTCCGATTAGATTTAATAAACATCAAGCTCCCAGTTACTTTTGTCTAACTCCGAAAAAATAAAGCGAAACTCCCGTTAACTACATTGCATGATTGTAAGCCTGATATCTGTGTCCACATAATCATGATAATTTTCATATACACATATTGTAGTACTATACTTATCTTTTATTTTAAAAAGAAAAAAAGTCACTGCGTTTTTTGCCTTATGTATTTCTTATACAGCAGATTCTGATCGTACTTCGCTGCCATCAATTCATGGATCAAATTACTTTAACAATCTGTTTACGTTTCATCTTTGTCAAATTGATCCAGTTTATGGAAGCTTATTTTCAGAATTATGCAATGAGTCTGCTTCTGTCGATGTTAATTCTACGATGAATGATTTAGATTTGTTAGTGCTACGATCTGAATTGGTTAATCGTATTGTGAAATATCTAACAAATGGTAGAAATGTCCATCCATTTCCTATTGGATCATGTCTTCTTGGCTCATCAAAAAATACTTCAACTAATGTAAATAAAATGCAAAAATCTCTAACTACAGATTGTACTAATGCGATGTCAAATTTATCTTCAACCAATATAAATATTGCAAATCAGTCAGGTCAAGGAATAACAGACCAAAATGCTAGTTATTCAGATGGGATTTCTTGTTCAGGTATGGTTTCATTAGTCTGAAAACAAACAAACAAAGTCATACTGTTAAATGCCTTTAATTTTTGTTTTTGTTGATGTAATAGATTTGGATTAAGGGCTAGCGCTTCATATTCCATAAACAAAAAAAGATGACTGAGAAATTTAGACTTTTATTATCATTTGGCAGAAGTGATGATGACATGAATATCCTCATATGTGAATCCAACCGAATTATCGACCAATATCACCTAATAAACTGTTATCAGAAGACTAGTTAAGTGAAAAGAGTTTTTTCTTCCCGTTAGATGCCGGCTTAGTGGTCTAGTGGTTAAGCGCCTGGCGCGAAACTGATAAGTCCTGGGCTCAAATCACACGAAGTGGGGTCATGCATGCGCACTTCTGAGGAGTCCCACAATGGGACAAAATGGCTATCCAGTGCTTCCAGGTTTTCCATGGTGATCTAGCTTCAATTGACTCATGATCTCAACTATTGAGAATAAAATACATTTATAAAATGGACTAAACACAAAAAAACCTAATAAGAAGTCATTTAATGCATAAACGATCAGGAGATACAACTTTCGTTAGTCGCGAGCAAATAAAATTAATACCTAACTACCAGGTTTGTTACTTAACACAATTTTTTTCTTGTAAACGGATTTTCAAAATTATAGAATGTTCGTTGCACTTTGCAATCGAGACTGTAATTCATTGAAAGTATTAACCGTTTTTTATAGACACAAATCTTTGTAAATGTAAATTTCTAGGTGATTCAAAAATAATTCATCCTTTTCTATGTATCTAAATTAAATGTGTTCTAACAGGGATTATTCTTGTCACTGATTAATTCTTCAATTTCTATGTAATTCTAGTTAGTCGAAATGTATGCAACGGAATATCTTTTCGTAAAAGTACTTATCCTAGCATACATTTACTTAAAATTGACTTAATAAAATTGTCTCTGTGATTTTAATTTGAAACTAAAACAATTCAAATCACAAAGTAATATTTCAAGACAAAAAAAAATTCAAATAGTCTAGTCGATTTAAAATTATATGACAAACTCTGTTAATTATTATGAATTACTGACACCCGTTGAATACACATTTCTTTCACTCTTAGATACCTTACTTTAGGGTTGAATATATAGTTCTTAATGTTGTGTTCTTTCTTTTTTTATTCATGATGTTTGTGTTTATTTGATTTATGTAATAAATAGTCAATGTTTATATGTAAAGTATATAACTGAGTAAACAATTACTATTTTCATTAATATATACATTGCTTTTTATATGAACTTACGTAGAAAGTTTAGCCACTAAAGAAGAGTATTAGTGTAGTAAACAAAAACTCAGGTGGTGAAAACGAACTAATTGTTTAATACATAGAGTGGCTTGGAAAAATATGACAATTATACATTAAATACATCATTTGAACAGCTTTTTTTACATACTCCACTGTTCCTCTAACTGTTGTTATTTCAATCGCTCTCCGATTTCCTTCCTGTTCTCTTCATCCCAATCTTCTACTGGCAGGCATTCTACTCCCGATTGCTGCTACTTTCTACTTATATTTGTCAACATACGCAGCATACATTACAATAACAGCTGTACGAATAGAAGTAATTATTAAACGTGTGTATCCTAATGAATAAACAATTCAATATTTCTCAGTCAAACTTTGAAGTAATAAAGAGAAACTGAAACATAGGTTCATTTGACACCTTTAGTTTATCAGTTGTAGAACGTTAAAAAAATTATTTTCTCATTAAAATTCCACATTTTACTTTATATTTATGTTCTTCAGGTAATAATAATATTCAGAATGAAGAAATGGTTATTCCATTCATTTTAAATGTTCGTCTAGGCAATTGTTCAACATTAAATTATTCTGGCTTATTGACAACTGTTCCAACACAGACTAAATCTCAACACCAACAGCAGACTAGTCGATCGTTTACTGCCGATCCATCTTCTAATTCATTTAATACACCTACAGTAGTAACTAATACAAGTACCGCTGACTTTGATTTCAAAACACCTAGTGATCCAGAACAATCTTATACTAAACGTAATATTAGTCCTGAATCAGTTTCACATAATGCACCAAGGTAATGTACAGTTTTAATTAGTGTCTATTCTTATTAACTAATTTATTATTATCGTTTAAGTTTCTTGTATCGATAATTCCGTATATACTTGGAGTATGTAAATCGTTACGGTAACTGTTACTAAGGCGACATAAATATTGTTGGATTTTGTAATTACTTGAATTTTTACCATTAATACACTTAGTTTTTGATTTCAAATGTGGACAATTGAAATATGCTAGCACATCTTTCAAGACACTTATATTTCGTAGAAATTAATGTATTCTAAATTCTATCAACGCTACTCCATCTACTATACGGTAAATATTCTATGCGTTTTAAAGGTTATCGAGCTGTAATTATATCAGGACAAAATGTACTTATTGAACCTTTCCTAATTTCACTTTTTTCAATTAAATAGATTCACGTAATGTATTTAGTTCATTATGTAATCCATATGAACTAGGCACATTAATTAGTTTGATTTTTACTAATTTAATTACTATCTAGTCGAGCAGATATAAATACAATGAGGAATCTGATTCAAATGGAAACAGATCACACCATGACAATAGGTAAATAATAAGAGAAAAGACAGAAGACTTGAAATTAATAATGAGTACACTGTTGCTAGTGGGAAATTCGAAATAACATAAATGAATTAACGTTGGTAAATAAAATAGGATTTCATAGAACTTCATTCATTATTCAAAATGATAAAAGTGAATACATCTGAACAAGCGCAATCGGTTTTATAAAACCCACTATTTAATCATAAATTTCATTCATGATCAACAAATCTATGATATGTAAGTTAGACTGAATCAAAGAGGCTTTTGGTGTATATGTGGTGCAACTTTGTCAATCAAAACTCTATCTGGACTAATCAGATCGGCCATGGCTTGCAGTGGTTATGAGTTGGGGAGACTGCGAATAATAAGTTGGCAATAGATTAAGAATAGTTGATCATAGGACAGTAGTTAGTGGGTCAAAGGCAATCTATGATAAAAGAAATATGTATATAATAATCTAGTTAGTTAATAATTATATAGTGATAATATATGTATTATAATAGTCCGTAAATTAATCCTGACCGCTACCATTGATTTAGTTTTCGTCGGATATAACAGTTACAGCAATTTATATAATTTAGTTATAATTCTGTGGATAAGGTTATAATGAACTAATTGATCACAATGTTTGGGATTCAAGATATACCAATTAGAACCTTATGTCTTTTATCATTGTTTCTTTCTGTCGACCTTTTTTCACGTAATATTATTTTACTCTATTTTCATTTTGAAAATCATTACTTGGGAAATTAATTTTTATCCTACTAATGGTTTTCTTATTTTTATTCTTACTTTTCTTAATCTTCGCTTTCTTCTTTTAACACTTTCTCACTCTCGATTTATTCGATTTCAACAGTTGTTTACTTCCTATGTTAAGTACATTGATTTCGTTTTTATTTTAGGCTTTTTTTCCCGTTTTTTTCCTGTTAAATCGTATTGAAAATGTTCTAATGTTCTGATCTCTCTACATTAATTTTTATTTGGTTGTACTTTGTTTAGTTTTTCAAGCCTATCTGAATTCTTCATTAGATTATTACTTGGGTTTTTTTCTGGAAAATGAATCATTCTTATAGGCATGATTAACGTAACCTTGATGTTAAGATTTATATTGGAGTTTAAATGCAATCACTTGTTTTTTCATGGTTATCTTTTTCAGAAAATTTAACTAGTCAGCTTTTAAATAGGTTCTTTAATGTAAAGAGAAATTTGTGTGCAATATCGGAAGTCATGTTTATTATGATTTTAATACCAGCTTGTGAATTTTAAGATGAAAACATATTGAACGTCCTATGGAAGAAGCTAAAAGAGAAATAAATACGTAGATAAAGACACTGAACAGTGTCATGAATTAAAGAAAAAACGGGAAATTATTATACTTTAGAAAGTTATATATACGGCAATATAACTTGTTTATAAAGAGTTACCATGATCATCTTACAGCAATGTGATTTTTTTATCGAAACAAATCATCATTTCTAAGAAACATTGATTCAGTTACAAACTTTATTATCAACATGATGTGACACAATCACATATAGAAGGCTTTAGTAATCCTATGAGATGTTAAGGAATCTAGAATTCGGTTCGACTGGATTTCGCGTTTTATCTAATTGAAGGTCAATATTATTGAAACATACACACATCCATAATTAATTACCTAGCCAGTTGTTTAGATTTTAATTACATAAATGCTCTCCACAGATCTCTCACAGATAATGTTATATAGCATATCAGCTGAACAATTCTATCCGTTAAACGTATTATCACAAAGAGTATTGTGTATTACGATTTTTCGCTATTGCTAAATTTGATTTTTCATCTGATGTATGTTCCTACATGATACTCGTAGCGAAAAATACTGTCATCTAACTATGGAAAAGGTAGTTTTTAATCGACCAGTCACTATCATTTCATAGTTTTAAGCTTGTGTGACAATGCACTTAGCTGTCGTGTAATTAGTAACCAATATCGAATGTCTTTCCGTATTTTTTACTTGAAGAATAAATAGCCGTTATCTAAATAATTCTAGTCTACTACTATATATATTAAACCACAGTTTTTATTGATTTTTATTTTGGTTCACCTTATGGTATAATCCTTACGATGATTTCAACGTGTCTGTAAACAAATATCTTTATTAAAACTTACTAGCTTTTTTATATACAAAATTGTAATTGGACCTATTGTGATATTATCTATCTGTTTATATTTATATGTATTGGATCATAACTTAGTTACTTCAAAAATAACAATGGCGTAAGAATATTGATGCTGAAACCATAGTGTCATAAGCGAAATCTCCAACCAACATTGCACTTCAAGATGGGTGGTAGTTAACCATACGTATTACGTGTTCCAACAAACTGAGCCGATGATTCACAGCCTTACCAACCTAGCACCATATATCTAGCTTCAGCATTGGTTTGTTGGTTGCCCCACGATTAATACGCAATGTCTTGAGAACATATGTGACCAATTACTCATAACCTATAAATATTTTCTACTTTCATAATTTACATTTCACAGCCATAAGTAAAACATCACGAGTGCCTAAGCAATATACTCGTTTTTTAATAGACAAACATAGGTGGCGGAAGTTGTCAATAGGCATTTAATCGTTTTGAGGTCTTATGGAGTTTTCGTTTGCAATCTACTCTACGGAGCTGATGAGACTCCGAATGTAAGTGAGATATTCACAGCGCTCACATTCTTCATTTCCAATTTTTCCGGCACCTTTATCGAGGAGAACTGTTCCATCTAAGTACCCTCAGTCATCAAATAAGCCCTCAAGTGAGAGATCAATCCCTGAGAAATTAGATAAAACGTGTTGCTACTGTTCATGAGAAAGTTATCGTGTTCTTGTATCAGTTCTCCTTGATTATTTCACTCTGATCATTTTAAAATTGTTTCTTTTTATTGATATTTATTTGTCATCTATTATTGTTGTTACTGTTTATTTTTCTCTCCATTGTTTATATGACTAGAATACGTCGAAATTTTTCACTATCATTTCGTTCACATAAAACACTACTTAAACAAAAATCTTCATGGAGAAATGGATCTTTTAGAACTAATAACAACAGGAATAGTGCTAGTAGTAGTATTACTACTACCGCTACTACACGTTTGTCTGATATTCTACCCGGGTACATTAAACATTTACATTCTATACTGCATACGATAATAGTAAATACCATTTCTCTAACCAGCAAACTTTATGCCTTGGTTTTGAGCTTATAATTTATCTGAACCACAAACAGTATATTTACACAATGCTTGTGTTACGAAGTTAACAAAGGTTTTGTCTCTGAATTTATGTGTGTTATTTATAGTATTTTTTATTCGATTCGCAACTATTTTACACAATTTATTGTCCATTAATCTTCCATTCATTTATCTAATACCTTGCTGGAATAATCAATTTTAGTCTAATTTCTGCATGTAACACCTTCAATATTATGATGTTTACCGTTAACTTGGCTGTCTTTTTTTCAAACGTGGTTTCATCAGTATATATTTTTCTATTTAGAGAGAATTAAGACACACAACATATAGTTCCTGGTGTATATGAGAAATTTACTTATTATGTGTTTGTATAAACACCTATTAAAATGACCTATCTATTTTTAACTTTTATGAGAAATTTCTTCACATATACTCTTATCGTGAAATAAACTAGTTTTTAATCTAGAATAATAACAGTGGATAACAATAAAATGTCTACAGTACAACCCGTTAATCAGTTTCCGAACGTGAAAAACTATATAACAATTACCACCTTATTGTCTTGTGTATCTTTATTTTGACTTTTCATTAGTGAACAAGATCATTCAATTTTATTGCAAATTGATGTACAATTTTAACTACAATTTAAAAATGTGTGAAAATTCCTTCGTATGTTGGTACTGTGTGGGCATGTGTGTATATAGCAATTCGAAAATATTTTTCAAGGTGAAAATTCTCATGTTTTAGGGATAATATACATTTCTATATGAATATAAAATCACAATCCGATCAAAGTTGGACAACCATTGAAAACCTGGAGGCACTGGACGGCCGTTTCATTGCAGTGTGAGACTTCTCAGTGGTGCACATCGGTGACCCCACAAGTGGGGATGAAACCCGTGGCCTTCGGTCTCGCAAACAGATGCTTAACCTCTAGACCATTGAACTGGCAACCTGTAGTGTTAATGTCTAACTACAATCAATCCACGATATTGCGCGACCACCCGACATGGGTCAGCTCCACAGTTTCTCACTAGAACTCAGGAAATGTCTTTTTTTAGCTGGTCATTAATGAGCTGAGCTCATGATAATTGTCTTTATGGGTTGTGGAGATTGTTGATTAACAATAAAATCATGAGTTGGTCAAACTTAGAAAACCTGTGAAAACCTAGATGTTCACTTCTGAGAAGCCTCATGCTAGGATGAAACGTCCCTCCAGTGCTTTCAGGTTTTCACTGGTTGTCTAACTTTGATCGGCTCGTGATTATGTTTTTAATTAAAAACCCTCACAAGGCCATTGTGGCAACATAAAGATAGATTCAATTAAACATAGATTACTTGACACGTTTCTGTTATAATTTTGTTCTTCAAATTAAATAATGATAATAATTAAAGATTAAGAATTTTCCGTGGAATAGATTATAAATCTGTTTCAGATAGTTGAAGGTAATTGCTATGAAAACCTTGGACCAGGGTTTCGCACTCCTCGGTAGCAATCATCTTCATTCTTGACTGATATGATGCTATTGTAGGAATTTAACTTTGTTTTACTGTGTACTGTATTCAAGGGTCTAAATAATCGACGACAGTAACCTTAATTTCAAATGTCTTAACTGAATGACATTTTTGGAAACTTGATAAATATACGAATACTGAATAATATACTAGTAAATAAGCAACGCGGATAAGATTGATTAAAATTAAATTCTCGAAAATGATTGTCGGTGTAACATATTTATCAAGCATGTGTTAATGTACGCGACTTTGCCCCACATCTTGTATCAGTATGTGTGCCATCAGTAGTTCAACTACTCAAATTGAAATATGTGTGCGTCTTGGAGAAAGGTCAAATGTATGATCTAATAGTTCAAAGTCATGATTCAACTATTAAATTCTGATTTTTATTACGAAAATCAATAGTCAACGTTCATTCTGTTTATCAGTAGTGTGAAAACTAATAAACCCATATGATTACTTTTAATTTTGTCATAATATTTATATAGATGATTATTTCTGACTTACCAAATGTAAACGAAGTCATTATATCAACGTGTATTTGTGTTTGCTAAATTAAGTTTTGCCTAATTAATTAGTTATTTATTTTATGTCAGTGTCTTTCTACTTGTCTTTTTGTATAATGTATGACGTATTTCTAATATTTTCATTTCTCTAGGGAATGTGTTTTATGCATTTGAATTTCATTCATACCATTTATTTTTACGCGTTTCCTCATTCAAATAACTACGGAGATTTAAATATTTCATAGAGCATTACATCAGTCTTTTATCTGAAGAAAACTACCTAAATATACGAATATTTCCTTCTTAATAAAACAATTCAAACCATAGAAATATTTTTAATTTGCGGGTCTTTTTTCTTCATTTATAATAATTCATTTGATGAACAGTGCGATCATATAATCACTTAAGGTTTCTAATCATGCCCAGTAATAGTTAATGCTAAATATTCTATTCATTCAGATTAATCAACAGAATTTCTTAAGTATATTATATTGATTACGTGTTTTTATTTATTATTTCTCATTTAAACAAAGTTTATTACTTTGGATATTTTAGTTTTAGTTTGACTGAATTTCCATTAAAGTTACAAAAATGGATTGAAAAAAAAAGAAACTGATTACAGGAATTCATTCATATGATACATTAAACATAATTCTATCGTATTGTTACGCAGAGATTGATCAAGATGTTTTCTGATTATTTTATGTGTTATTCAATAGTTAGTACATACAGTCATTTAAGATTTTTGAATATAGATATATTCATCAAATGAACTTTCTATCCGTGATTGAACAAACTATTTGGATCTTGTCGAATTTTATGTATGTGTGTGTTTATGTTGAAAAGTTGTGATAATTATGTACGAAAGCAATCTATAATTTATATTCCTTGTATATATGTCATTTTAACATTGAACCCGCTACATCGATATTGTTAAGAATCACTGAATGTTCAAAGGCCTTTCTGTTTTGCAAAGTATATTAGAATACCGTATCTTTCATACGTGGAGTCTAATAAATATACACTTTTTAGAACTCTTCATTTACCCTAAATTCATGTCTCCGAAATGTTGCTTCACCATAATATCGAGGAATTTTATAGGTTACACCTTTATGTTCGATATTATGATTGGTTTTCAGCCATTTTACTAACAGTAATTCCTATTATTTTGGAAATCCAAGGCAGTAAACACACTGAATAATACATAAAATTAATATTTTCTCATGATAAATTCGAATAAGACCTTATCATATAAAGTGGGCCTCGTCGGTTGAGACTTGTAATAATTTTATAATATTGATTTTGAGAGTTTGGAGGCAAGATACTCTGGATCCAGTTCTCTTGCTATTCAAGGCTTGTTAGCAGGGGATATTAGCAACCACCAAAGGAATTGGTGCTTCCTACGTCATGTGAGCCATTGTCAAGGAAATGATGGATTGTTATTAACTGACTCCAAACACCTAGTAGCAACACATAGTGCACTTGATTTCGAGTCACTTAGGCCAACGGCCACATTGTAGCTTGGCCGATAAAATTCGATTACTGACTAAACTCAACACTGATTATTACTTAATGGAACAATTAAGACATGTCACCAACATTATTTTTTGCAAAACACTTGACACGTTCTTGTAGCTGCTAATTTGTTTACTAATATAATATATTTTTTTCGTCGCACTTTCTATTCATGTCGCTTTTAATCATAATGTGTGTGTGCAGCTTTTTAACAATATGCAAGTGATATTCTATTTTCCTTTACATGACTTAACTATGTTTGACTTTGCTGCTTTTTATTACAAATATTTTTTAAATTAATCTACTAAATGCTTCATAATGCGCATTAATAAAATCCTAACAATGAATTTTAATGTTAATTCATACTTCTTTCCAAGCTACTATTAACTACTCCATTTATTAATATTATTTTGGCAAATATAGATCACATTCTTCTGCTCAAAGAAGTGTTCAGTCACCAATATTCGGTTCCGATCGACGCCTTTGGGATATTCAAATAGAGTACTGGTCGATACCTAGTCAGACTACAACAATAAGTAGCAATAGTCAAATTACTTCAATGTCATCGTCGTTTTCATCTGCGAATTCTGTTTCAAATAATATCAATACTAACAGTGCTCTTTCTTGTCCTACAAGTCCACCAAGTACAACATCGGATCCTGTATCACCACCGCGACGTTCTACTATAAAAACTGTATCGCCTGGTTTGGTCGTTACGATAGATTCGTCATCCAATACAACTGGTTCTATGTTATCTTCGCCACATCGTAATGGTGACATATTTAATTATGGTATGGAATCCCATTCTAACAGTTTCGTTTGTTCACCAATTCGTCATGTACAAATCAATTTAAATCAAACACATACTCAACATCTCGCTCTTGGATTATGGACAAAGGAAAAAAAACAAAAAAGTACGTGTTTACCGACTTAAAATGAATTTTTTGTTGTGCATATATAGATACTACAACATTAAACACATTCTTTTATATATTACTACCATTTAAGTAACTGCTTCTATGAATTTGGTGTTCATCTTGCTGTGCTAATGAATTGTGGCAATTTGGACCGATGCATATATGTGCCTCGTCCTGCGTTGTAGCTGACTTACTAACTTTAGCAACCGAGCAGTATGATTAACCTCTAAACATAAAATATAGCTTTAGACCACTCACATAAATCCTAACCTTAAAACGAGTATGTAATAATAGTGTACATGAATATGGTCTTAAAAATGTAATTGCACCCACTTTAATTTACTCACTCATTCGCTCTCAACATATGTTTATATAGTCCGACTATCAGAAGTCCGATGACTTTTGAATAGCTCATTCCAATATTTGATAATGCCAGGAATGATAGAATACTTGAATTTAGAATTATTTTCGAATTTATCCATTTTTATTTATTGTATACTTCAGTTTTAATTGACCTATACTTCAATCATGTTTACGATCTATGTATAATTAACCAATAAACACACTGAGCAATTATTCTATTAAGACCGATATTATCAATCAAAAGTTCTGTTTCTCTCAAACTAACTTTTTATTTGGAAATTAACTTGAAACCAATCAATATTAGACTAACAATTTATAGATTAATGGATATTGTTCGCCTTTCTATGAAACTGGCATATATATATATATATATATATATATATATATATATATATATATATATATATATTTCAAGAAATCTGGTTTCTCTTGATATATATGTTCAGCACTCGAGTTAGTATTCGAATATTAAAAGTAATCAATCTTGAGGAAATATGAGGTAATAAATCTTCTTTTCGCTGGAGTTTTTTTCTCTGAGCTGGTTGATTTAGTCGCAGAGCTTTCATCGTTATTCTGAGCGACATCATCAACACAAACTTCAGTTAGAAATGAAGTGTTCTAATTTCTCCATATATTGTTCACTTCTCGTTCTGTGGACCTCAATATTGATTAGTTATTGTTGACCTTTAACCTGTCATTGTTTAATTTTTTTTATTATATCTACCATTGATTTGATTCTTGGTCCTATATTTGTCCATAATTTTTCTGCTTGGATAAATAAAGGACCAAGAATGTTTATTATCAAACTAGTTTACTGTTTATATGTGCAATTCTATGACGGATATACCATTTCATTGTAATTTTAATTAGAAATACTACAGATTGTTTAGATAAACCGAAATTTCTTTGAAACTTCCAACCAGAAACCTCAAATATTCTTCCACATTATTCACTTATTCATAGTTAACCTCCTCCGTAGCTCATTTTGTATGTTCTCTCTGGTAACACACATTCGACTCCGTGTTTAATTGATACTTCTTACAACTCTTTAGAAGTCTTCCATATTGTTGTAATTGTCTTTAATCGTTATAAAATGAAACTTCTTATAAGTAATTTTAATGAGTCGTTCAACTTCAACAAGCTTTTTTTGACAAAAATAATGTTAACAGATAAACAGTGTTTTAGTTTAAAACGTAAAATTTATAAATTAAAATCTTGATATGCTGTGTGGTTTAAACATGTCAACTTTTGTTTTCTTGTTTCCAAAAAATCAGGTATCATTGTCTAATTAACAGTTTTATTGTATTTTTTCTCTGTTTGTTCTGTTATTGTATACACAATCTATTTTCAATCGATAAAACTTAATCAATTTTCATTGTTTCTTGACTTTTTCAAACATTTCAGTTATGCTTATCGGTCGTAAAGGTAAAGAACTTAACTGTCGTTATGAGTTGATTACTGGTATTCAACGTCTTTTATGTACTGGACGTTGTTGTAATTTGCATAATACCAGTTCAACTAATAATACTGAACGTTCAAAAGATACAGAATCCAGTCATCATCATCATTCTTCATCAGCCGGTTTAATATCAGATTCAAATGTTCTATGCTCTCCAGATTATAAAACTTCAAGTACAATATCTGCATTAGGCTTAGCTTTGACTGGTGGTAATGCTAGTAATTGTGGTTTTTCAGGGTTTACTGTGAACAATAATCATATGATGAGAGGTTAGTTACTTTTGTTGTTGTTGTTGTTGTAGTAATAATTACCTAATAAGGCATAAAAGACGAAATTTGAACATATTAACATAAAAGTTCAGATTTTCTCCGTTCTTGATATAACCTTATAATACAGATCACTTTATCCATGAATGTTCATACACATAGTTCGTTTTGCTATTTTAAAGAGAGCAAAATCAAAGATTGGTGCAGAACAATATAAATTTATTTTATTTCGTTAGACTCTCATCAGCTGCTTACAACCTATAATATTTAAAAATCAATGTTATTACAGATATGGACATACTTATAAATACAAAGATGATTAGAGATGAATGTGTTTATCATGTTGTAGCGAAGATTCCAACGGAGTTATTAAGGTCAGAAATTTTTTCTTTCAGATAAATAAATTCTGAGAGTGAAAGTTCCAGAACATAGAACTAGTGTCCAGAAATCATAGAGTTTACAAACAGAAGATGATTGTGTAATGAAGTAACTGGAAACTGAATGATAGTAATAAAAAAGACACTAGTTGAAGTCAGCCAACTATGAATGTAAGAGAAGTAACAATGATGTGATTAAAACTTGAGAAAAAATCGAAGTGATGAATGATGCCATAAAAAGGATGTGATGTTACCAGGGCAAAGAAAGGTTTATTACTGTTTACTTTTTGGACGCATATATCTGGTTCTAGATAATAATTGATATGACTCCGGAAAATTTTAGAAAATTAGAGCTCGATTGTTTATTAATCACCTTGAAAGGCTTCAGTGTATCGACTTGATATTCTGTATCAAGGAGGTATTTCGAAATGGCACTACTATTTACTTTTAATCCACTTGACCTTAGACTTTTTGTAATATATCCTTTGGATCGTATGAAAGCTCGCTTTTCTTTCCTACTAGTCTAACTGTTTTGGCAGATACATGTGAATTTATATACGCATGGCTTATTTACCTCCTAATTAAATAGTTTATGGTTTCAGTTCATTTATAAGAATCGTATAATTAAAAGTTAAGAGTTTACTATTTAATCAATTATTAGAATTCCTGAAAGTATTTCGACTTTGATTCATCCACCTAGTTCATAGCAAAGTCAACTATTGAACCATAATGTGTGATATATGATCTTGCAGTGTGAAAAGCTACTCAGTTTATCTATTTATATCATATATTGTATATCGTAGTTTCAATTCACTTTAATAATATAGATAAGTAGCTTTTGATTTTACGTTATATAACTTGGATTCTTAATTTTCAACTCTTGCTTCTGAAGTAACTGGTATTAGTACTAGATTTGTCATTGCGCTATTGATTGTTTGCTTACTACAGACAAACTGTTTTGAAGCATAAAGTAGTACATTAATAACTTGGTGTCAATATTTTGTCATGTTTTTGGTGCATACAAACGCCTAAACCCCACTACCAATGTTTCATCTTTGTTAATGTTGTGTTTTCTTATCCTTAAAGTTTGGATAGATGGTGTTGAATGGACCGATTTGAAATTTTTCCAAATCACTCCAGTTTGGCGTACACATGTAAAATGTTTTCCAGTTGTTCTATTGAATGCTAATCAGTCGGATACAGCAACTCTAGTCAAATAAAAATAATCATAAGGATTATTATCAGTATTATTCGAACAAGTTCAGTGAGATTTCTCTGGCGAAAAAATAGAGAACTGAATGTATAGTCTGTGTATTTGTATCATTTTCGCATCTTCGGTTATTCTGAACACCAAATAATAAACCTAATCATAACAGTGAATAATTGTAATTGTAACAATAACAATGCATTTATCAGTGGTATTATTTTATTCATGTTTGTGTGTATTTCATTTCGCCAAAATTTTGTTGTTGTTTTCATAGTCACTTTGTCTTCCAGATTATGTTGTATGAATAGATTTTTTGTTTGTCTATTTATAAGATATCCATCCCTCTTATATATTGTAGATACAAGTGGTTTTTTTAGTTTCTGTCTATTCATTTTCACTACCTGATAACAGCACTATTTCAAATAAATTCTTTTATCTATACCTTTTAAACATTTATTTGAAAGTTTCGTTGGAACACACTGTCTTATTTTCTGTTCATTTCATCATGAACTATAAATTAATTTTCCTGTTTAATGCCTGTTTTCTGTCAATCCGAATACTTGTGTTGTTTTTTTAAAAAAAAATCTAACTTAAGATGTTTATACCACACCGTCAGGTAGTTTATATATCCGTCCAAACGCTTCCGGTTTTTGTGTTGTGTTTATTTAACTGTCTGCATGTTCACTTTACTTTTTTTTGTTAATTCTCTGATTAATCGCGATTATTTATAGTTTTACACACATTTTATTTTGCTTTTAAGGGAACACTTCTATCCTATGAATGTTTTTTCTTCCAAATATATATATCACAGATATAAGTATACATCGCTTCGTCTTTCATATTCTGCTTTAGAAAT